ATAATAATGATAAGTTGATTGGATGTCAAACATTCAGCTTAAGAGTATAATTGAAGACAAATCAAATGACAGGGTATCGAATCACATTGCGGGAATCAACTGATATAACAAAATAGGGAAAAAAGGGTAAAATATCACTAAGGTAGGATAGGATTGACGATGGTTTGTTTACGAATGTACAAGATGAATTTTAATCGCTAAAGCTTTAGTGATAAGAAGTAGATAGGAACCAACTTATACTTCAACTTTCTAAAATAATCAAGTATTGGTTAGTAGGGATTTGATTGATTGGTTACAGGATTTAATCATGAGCTGACATTGGTTAGAGAACCATTAGAATACCTGGGAGTATTGGACAGCTGTTTTGTCCTAGTTCTAAAATAATTTTATACAGCTTCAACATGTATTCAGAAATCCTTTTTCTGTCCATATGCGTACTTCCACGCTAACATGTTATCTGATATACTTTTTACCTCTCTCAGAGACTGTAAGATTATGAGTTTTGAAAAGGTTAGTTGGAAAACTTTCCTGCTTCAAGTTATATAGTGTATGCAACATATTCTAGTTCTCAAAGAGTTAGCATCCATTTATTCCGTCTAATGAATTCTTCTAAATAAAATGGAAACACCAAGTTTGCAACAAGGAAAAATTTATTTTTGAAGGGAAATAATTTTATTTCTATTCTTGAACAGCTTTTAAGAGTATATTGCTTCTGCTATACACGTGCATGGTGGTCAGGACTGGCTTAATATCCTAAACAATGAATTTTTGAATTTATTACAATTGTTTAGGGAGATTACCGAAAATGTGTCAGGAGGCTTAGTTTCACAAAATAAACGGAACTAAAGTCCAATTGTCCAGTAAAACGCAACCATTAACTTTAATTCAATTTTAGATTTTCTCGTTGATTGATTGAACCGAAGTGCTCAGTCTCAGGTTGACATGTCGGCTCCTTGTGCAGATGCTTCGACGATGTCCGGTCACGTAACTTGAAGTCAGTTGGTGGATGGTGACTAGAAGTGAAATCCAGGATGCATATTTCGTCCTATTTCGGACGTTTGAAACTACAGGCACTGGGCTAGAGCCTCGGTGGGAATACCATCAATCACTGGTGAATGCAGGTACATCCAGATGACGAGTCCCAAATAGGACGAAATGTGCACCCTGCATCCCACTGTTAGTCACCATCCACCAACTAACGGGAATCATTGACTGTTTTTAATTAGTAGAATTGCAAAAGTGACTATTTAGCCTTTTGATATGTTCTGTATGTGAACCAATACTAAGGAATAAATTTACTTATCTGTAGAATTGAGAGAAGAAAAGTATGAATAGATTTTTAAGCTGCAATCAATGACAAAAAATACCTTAAGTTCATACAGACTTTGTTTAGGTTATCGATATATTATAAAGCGGCAACACAGCACATATAACCACACAGTGTGTAATGAGAAATCAAGCTACTGATATATGGTTAATCATATACAGAACCCTAAAATACAGCATACATCACTGGTGAATTGTGACTAGTTATAGTATACTTGCACGCAAAACTAGAATTGACATTACTGTGGTCAACAACTGAAGTAAACGTTTTTCTATAATTCACTAAGAAACGTTTCGCATGACGTAAGTGATCACTTATCCCTTTGTATTTACATTTAGAGTAACTAAGCTTCTGCAGTGCAAAAACTTTGATTTAGTCTGTGATGTAAGATGAAACCTATACAATAATAATTTAAAACTTGAGTGGTACTTTAGTAATATAATGCAAGCGACAGAAAATATAATTTCACACCATCAAATATCTTTTTGCCACTGGAAAGGCAACTTTAGTTAGACCTTTTACTGATATATATAATTCAACAATATAGGCGTGTCACAGGGTCTAAATAAGTCATGTAACACAGTACGGCATAGTAAGGACCTCGTATGAATATAGTTATAATCTCTCTCTATCGAATATCATAGGAAGGTGGCAATCAAGAGGAAGCTACGGATCTATGTTTGTTTGCTTTCTGGCAGTCATCAGCAGTGAGTACCTGTATTTTTGGAAGCAAATACCATTTTTTTGATTCAAACTAACACTAATCAAAGCATTCTAAGGCATGAAAGTGTTACTACTGCGTCACTTGAGTCGGGAATGACTCATTGTAGGCCTGGAATGTGTTGGTCAAACGAACAGTTAACTTTCTCAAGAAAAAAAACCTGAAACAGTATATTTAAACTGGAGTACACATTGCCTTAGCTAACTGACTTGAAATAAACAATACAAACATAACATGGCATACAGTTCAAAGTTAAACTATCAGAATTCTTTTAAAAACAAATAAGTTCATTGAAAATTCGGCTTTCTTCATCTGGATTTACATGTATCGCCGAAGCCTTATAGGCTAACATATCAACAATGACCAACCATTCCAGTTAAATAAAATCAATCAGCAGAAAATTCAAATGATAATTTCAACAATTTATTACATCTTATGGATAATTTTGGGTGCCAACTTGATGAAGAAATTTTACGGAATATACGGATGCCTCCAAAATTAGAGAATAATTCAAATAAGGAAATGCAACAACACGAAAATATCAGTCTATAGGTACCGGGTGAAACTGACTCACTGAACAGTGATTTGAATTGGCTAGAGAGCGAGGAAAACCTAGAGTGGTGTTGCATGGAGGAAATATGACTGATTTTTATGAAACCACGTAATAAAAATCAGTTATGATCAAGTATTGGTTTGTAGGGATTTGACTTATTGGTTACAGGATTTCATCATGAGCTGATATTGGTTAGAGAACCATTAGAATACCTGGGAGTACTGAGCAGCTGTTTCGTCCTAGCAACTGGCCCTATTCAGGTAGGTAGTCACCTGGGGTTCTAGTGGGAAGTTATGACCAGTAGGGTGAAGCAGGTCGGGTGTGAGGACAAATACTCGCCGAAGACATTGGCTAGCGGTCGCGCTATGTCATGAATTGGTAGAAGTTGGAATTCATGCGCTGGCCATTGGATCGGGTCCTAGTGGCTTAATGTCTACGAGCTGCCTTGTAACCACAAGGTCCTGGGTTCGAACCCTGGCGGTGTGTGCGCACTGTGAAGAGTCCCAAATTAGGATGAAACAGTTGGCTATCCAGTACTCCCTGCAGGTTTTCCAATGGTTCTCAATATCCGCTCATGATGAAATCCTGTAACCAATAAATTATAATATCTAATAAAACTATTCAAACACAAAAGGTCTATATGACTGACAAATCTTTTGTAGGAAAGGGATTTTCAGTTAGCCAGTCACCGAATGTGATAGCAGAACTGTGCTAACAGGATATTTTGATGTGTTGTAGTTTTGGCAACACTTAATCACATTTTATTCGATTGGTCTTGTACCTTTAATAATGACGTTTTCTAACTATAGTGTGTTAAGGAAACAACTCATGATACTGATTAGGAGTACTCAGGAGGCGTGCTGTTGGTAGAAAATATGAGACAGTACTATCCAATTTCAATTTGAAGCCTGAATTCAGGATCAAAATAAAATATTTCAGTGCTGTACACAATCAATCTGAAGTTAGCTGTCTAAAAATGCTGAATAATGACAGTACTTAACAATTATTTTAGCATCATGAATACCTTTCGTTTTACTTCTTTGTTTTTCACTCATTTTAACATTTAAGTTTCAAGTTACGAAACAAACAAGAAACCCATCCTAGAAAGATGGTGAACTGATATTTATCTACTACTTAATTATATTAGGGCAAATGGAGCCCCTTTTCTGACAGGGGACATACTTAATAGGCATTAATGTCTTATAGTCCAGTCGTCACAGCATTGAGTTCTCAACTAGAGACAAAGAATTTGAATTCTTATAAAACAAAAACTTCCTCCTTTTTTTAAACGGTAAAGGTTAGTTATTTGTGCAGAGCAGTCATATGAAACAGAAAAGTGATTACCTGGGGACTGACTTACTTGCCGGCACTTCTTAACGTCTGAGACACAAGTGACACCATTCTATTTCTTGTGTTACGTGGTACAATATGATCAGTAATAATCAGTAATATAATGATAGTAATAGCTTTATTCTGAATAGTGTTTATATAATGTACAGAATTTTCAGCTGAGTTTATTTCATGATATCTTCTCTTCGCCCAGGATCTTCAAATAAAAGATTAATTGATAGTAGGTCGTGTGACATAGTTCTATCCGACCTGAAGGGGAAGACTAATCCATTACATATATCCTCTTTGCCTCATTAGAGAAATACAAGACATTTTGTTGAATAAGTTCAGGAGTACATTTTGTGAACCAAGGACACAATTCAGGAACGGTCATCTCATGTATTGAGATAAGCTGCCATCGAGTATAATGCCTTTTCTCAGGTTTAGTAGGAACTTACGAATTAGAATATTGTATATGTTTTAAATACTTGCCAGAGTAAACAACCTTATTATAGGTCAAAGTTTACTAGATTTAAACAAACTCAATAAGAGAAATTAATTACATGCAATATATTGGTGCAGGGTTTTCGTAGTCAAAGTTTTAAGCAGACCGTCAACAGTGTTAGCTGACATAGGATTAAATTGGAAAAGAGTTAAAAGGAGCTCAAACTAAAACGCAACACCATTCCATGAAGTCTCTAAATGTTAGTTTAAGGCCCATACGAAGGTGTAGACCACCTGGCTGAAGTCTCAGTAAGAATACCATCATCAACTGGAGATCAATTACATCCAACTGACGAGTCCCAAACACGACGAAATACGCATATTGGATACCACTGTTGGCCACCATCAAACACGACATTCCTCGACTTGATTTTAATTTTCTACGAAAACTAACATGCTAAGTAAGACCTTCCTCCTAGAGGAGTTGAACGGTAGCAAAAAATGACTATAACAATAAATTTTAATCTATTCACAGATTTATTAGGTGACATTTTGTATAAATGATGTTTACAACTATTTGACATGATAACACGTGTAAGAATAAAAATAGGAAATAAGTTATTTCACTTTATAAAATAATGAAGTAGACAAGGAAAGATATTCAATGTAAAAAATAATACTTCATCAATGTAAATAAGGCTAGAAACATAACTCAAAATTATGTCATGTATATAATATACTGAGATAGTAAATATAAAGGAAATTATGCTCACTAAATTTTTCGAAAGACGATAACAAAATTCATACTTACTATTATTAGCACTACTAGTAGTGACGATAAACGAGTTACTGATGCATAACTTTCAAAGGAAAATAGACAAGTTAAGTACTTTGTTTGCTTTCCTCATGAAAATGACATTATAAACAGTAGTAGTATGCAAAATAAACAAATGAATATTGAGAAAAAGAAAAAAAATATTAAACAGATAACTATTTTACATCGAATGAGTAAATGAATAATGATGTAGTGAGAATCTAATCTATTAGTCAGTGTACAAAATGGAAATGGAAGGTTGAAAACAAAAAATAGGTCTCCTCAATATGTCAGTATGGTGAAGAGAACGGAGATATCACACGGATAACTTCATATATGTATATGCATGAGCATAAACATGTGAAACATTCGTTTCTACTATACACAGCCATTCTGTTCTGATTCATATACAGTGTTTACAGTTATTCCCATATTTTGTATAATATATTACGCAATATTAATTAATGTACAATGATAAGATATGAAACAGGAATGTGGATATAATGTACACAGATTTCATTATCTTATGTCAAAGTGTGTTTTGTACGGAATAACTGAGCAGGGTGTGTGTTTGTCTGTATATAAATGTAATGGATAAACTTGAAAAATGATACTTTTGTTCACGAGTGACTTCCAACTAATACCATATTAGATTCACTTAAATTTTCTGTTCCGATTTTCTCATGAATATGCTTCCTATGACTGTCAAAATGTTCTTTTTTCTCTTTTTTGCATCCTTCTTCCCCTTTTTCATCATCATCATCTTCTTCTTCCTCTTCCTCTTCATCCTCCTCATCGTCTTGTCCCTCTTCTTCATCAGCTTCTGGAATTGGATGCTTGATAAATTTATCTATACTTCGACTTAAATAAAAAGAAACTGGTCGACGTTGTACACGTGGACTGAAAGATAACGCTAAACTGTGATGAGGTAATTGTTGCAGTTGCTGTTGTTGTAGCTGCCGTTGTTGTTCTTGATATTGCTGTAACAGCATTCGCTGTTGTTTAAAAACATCTAATTCTAAGTGATTTGATTGTTGTTGTTCTGTTTGTGTTGTTGTTGTTGTTGCTGTTGCAAAGATGAAACTCGTGTTTCCAACCGTAAATCATCTACAGAAGATGGGACAGAAATCTTCCCTTTTGTAGGTTCTTGAATAGCTGCATGTTTAGACTTCTGATCATGATCAGAATTTCTAAATGATGTTATTCTGTGTGCACGATTATCAATTACTGATATTTGTTTATTTTGTATTAAGGTTGGGAGAATATCTGAATACCTTTTGATTGAACAAGAGTTGCCTGACGCCTTTGAATTGTTACGCAGCTTAACAGAACGAACACTGTTGTGCAACTTTGTATCATAACTGTTGTAACTGTTAGTCTTACTACTAATCGCAGTATTATTTATCCTCCACGATGATGAATCGGTGCAGTAAAGAAAAGTCAAGCAAAAAAAATAGATAAACAACATGAGGTGGATTATAACTTCAAAAATAAAAAAAATTCTCTTGAAATATTTAGTGAACTAATCTCTCTAGTGTATTAGTAGCTTTGAGAATAGAAATGCAGTGAAAACCTAAATAGGGTAAGGATTCGAAATAAACACCTACAGTTATCTAGTTTTACATCGAGCAGTTATGCACTACTACCTGACACGAAGATGACGGAAAATCTCGGTAATCTAAGTGCAGCTGAGATCTTAAAAGATGACTGGATGAAACAGTGAACTGATAACGCAAAAACCATTGGTACTAGTTGTACTGAATGTCGAGTTTCTGTTCAACCTTCAATCACAACTCAGCTACGTTAGTATACGTCGAAGATATCAGCGCTATCTCAGGTATTCTGCTAAAGAAAATTTACTCCATTGAAACATTTCACCTTAAGTGCAAAAAGAGATGATTTTTACTTTGACTGACATCTGCAGCAGGGTAATTAACTTAAGAATTCTTCCATGAACAATCTATCTGCATTACTGATACTAATATTTCAACCAGTTGCGTAATTACTACCCATTTTTCTAACCTGTATATTATCGCCCCCACATTTGAATCTTTTCTTTTCATTGAATCATTCTTATCTATCTATGTTTTGGTTGATCCCTATTTTTGATGCTTCACTTTGCTGTTGTGTGATGGTGTTGACATTAATGTGCTGTTATACGATTGAGATTTTGTTTGAATGAATTCAAGGTTACGTCATAGAGTGACTGTCCGACATTGGACACTGGGCTGTCTAGGGAAGAGCGTTTTCTTCTGCTTGGCTCTTGCAGACAGAACTTTGATCCCACCTTGTTGGAAATATTCTTACTGATTCTCAGTCAGTTCACTATTGTGCTCAGTAAATTAATTTTGTACTCAAGAAACTTTTGAACTGCATAACTGCCATAAGTCACTGTTAAGGTAATTTTGTATTTCCAGTAGGAGCTATTATTGTCAAACAGTACTACAGATTACACCAAGTTAGGATGTGTTTCTAATATTGTCAGAGTATAATTATGGATTGTACGTTACTCTCAAAAAACGAAACAGAAGAACGCGTCGATTGGTTTCTCGTGTTCAGACTGAAATAATTGAACGCATATTCAATTTCATTGAAACGACAGACCGATATATTTCAGCTGACATTCATATTGAAGCAGTTAAAAGTAGCTACCTTAAAAAACTGTATTGTTACTATGTTGATTTCTGGTGGTATTCACAATGTAGAATAAAACCATATGAATTTCCTGTCTGCCGACTTCGATGGAGATGGAACAATCTACGGGATAGTTTTTACAGTACTTTTTAATCTAATAAATGCCTTCGAGTTTAGAAAACTTAAGTTTCCAAGCTATTTTGTCTTTGACCATGTAAGAAAAGATACACATTTGGGATACAACCTTACATCTGTGTCTGTGATTACATATATTAATGACCTCAGCTACAAAAGCTGCAGAAAATCAAAATTTTTCGAGTAAAAGTGAATCTTCACATTGTGTGACTGTCACAGTCATTGCAAAGTATTTTGTAGATTGGCTTCTTTTGTCTAGTTGGGTCAATAAGGTCCTCTAAATTAAAGGTTTGTTTTTTACTTTCGAGTTTTGGATGCCTCACCATACAAATTATAAGTTATTCTCCTGGTTGATTTCCTAACCCGAATGTAAATTTCATCTATACATATATCTGTCTGAATACATAAACAAGGGTATCCACAGTGTTGCCCTATAAGAAAAGGACACCTGAAACCCTACGTAGCATTCTTAATAAAACGGTGATGAAGCCTCTAAAAGCAGTGGTAATTATTCAGAAAATAACATCTAGGAGGTATTTTACCGGTGGTATGCAATCATTTGGTCCACGACATTAGATGCTGTTTACCGCGTTTCCCACCATAAACACTGAACATGTTTGTTAAACTAGAAAGGTTTTAAGGAGTCACGCTATATTTGACAAGCACTACTCAATGATGAATATCTTAGTGAACCCAACATGTCAAGAGCTGCTCTTTAACCAGTCACCTCAAAGCTTTAGGACAGAAACAACTTTATAACACTGACACCAACTATTCAGAAGAATTAAATAATGGAATTTAATTAAATTGCATGGTGAATAGGTCATCATCACCTTTTCGAGACTTACTTTTTTGATGCGTTCGATGTAAGTACAAGACTTTTTATATGATCTAACTTTTCTGCATTATAATTTCCTGCGCTCAATAAATCCAAAGCTTCAACCAGGCTGACTGAACGTGATTGCAGACGACGGATTTCTTTGCACAAAGCACTGAATAATGAATTTGGCAGAATAGGAGTCTCTGTATCCGATGTTTGTATACCTGAAAGACGGAGTCATTTGACACAATAAGAGAAAAACTTAATATGATGATAAAGCACATATTGCGGAAACGTTCTTCATCTACATTTACGTAAGTACATAAAATAATTAATTCTTGCATTACTTTGATTCACTTGAAACCGAAAAATCAGATAGGCATTATAGAAGTAATTCATAATGTCACTACGTGCTTCCATTGGAAATCTCCTGATAACAGGAGATAGCTTGGCTAATAGTGTTTCTAAAGGCAGTTGTCACTGTACTTTGATATTAGCTAGAAAACGATTGATCATCACGTTATGGTCAGTTGTTTTGTCTTATTTTAAGACTTCTCAAGATCTCTGAACCCACAGCCATGTGTAGAATTCAGTGGAAATAGTCTCAGTGAGAAGTGTATGTTAACACACTTCAAACAAAAACAAACAATCGTTGTTTTTCAACTTCAATTTCTTAACAGTATATCAATTGTTCAGTGCTATAAATGGGTTAACTGCAGGTTACAAAACTTGTTTAACGTTTAAGAGACCAACGTCTACATAGATTGTTAGGTTGCACTGTATAATTCCTTACTTATGTGGTTTTTGAAAAAACTGTTCATATCATCAATGATTTCATCACAAGCCATTGTTATATTTCATATCATATATTTGAAAATGATAATCTGGGTATTATAAATGTATACAGAACATCTAACAATTCCTACTTCATCTGAAAGCACTTCTGTTCGTATGATAGGCAGCCTCCTTGAGTCACTGGGCTACCGAAATTGCTTTCCACCGAAATAGCTAATTTCATATGGATGTATCACTGTTTCAATCGTTCAGTTATATCAAGTGACCTTTACATGAACTGGCGCACTGATTTACCTTGCTTCCAAGTAAACGCCGCATAATTCCTCAACGAAATGAAGATACACTACAGATTATTACTTTGCATGAAAATCTTGTATGAAGAAAAAGCATTTTGGAACTGAATACGCTGAGAAATTTTGTATCATATGTTCACGTATTGTCTGAAATAAAGTGAATACAGGAGTAAGACAAGGCTGCCTGGCTATTATCACCGATGATATATTCTCAGTTGTGGTGGAATGGATTATGCGTCAGACTGTGCACAGGGAGCGAGGAGACAGGAATACGCTGGACCACCGATAAGAAGACTCTAGAAGATCTGGATTTAGCAGATGATATATGTCTAATGTCACACAAACTCGAAGACTTGCAAGAGAAAACCAACAAACTGGCAGAAGAGGCTGGCAGAGAAGACAGGACTGCAGGTGAACACAGAAAAACAAAGGTGATGAAGATAACCAACCAATAGCAGCAACAAACCCAGCAAATCACCATCAACGGGAGAGATTTGACAAAGGTTGCCTCCTCACTTATCTGGCTAGGAAGCATCGTTTCAACTACAGGCGGAACGGATGAATATGTCAAAGCTGGCCAGAATCGGAATGGCAAGATATGCCTTCATCAACCTAAAACCAGTTTGGAAATCTTCTTCACTCCACAGCATAAACAACGAGATTCGGATTTAAAACAACAATATCACGTCAGTCCTTCTAAACGGGTCAGGAACTTGCACTGCGTGTCACGAAACGCTTTTCTAACAGGCTACTGCAGACTTTTATCAACAGCTGCCTTCGCTGGCTCCCTAGTCAAGATCAAATGGCCAGAAAGAATAAGCAACAAGAAACTGTGGGAACAAACCAACCAAGAGCCGATCGCTCAACAAATATGTAGGAGAAAATGGAGATGGATCGGGCATACATTGAGGAGGCCGCCGAATGACATACCACGCCAGGCCATCATTCGAGTGGAATCCCAATGGGAAGGTAAGAGTGGGTCGTCCTAGGGTGACATGGAGGAGATTGTGTGAGGAGGAGAGGAGAGATTGTGGGCAATCGTGGACCCAGATGAAGAGGACGGCAGAAAACAGAAGAAAGTGGAGATGTGTTGTTGAAGCCCTATGTTCCACTCGGAACGCAAGAGAATAATAATATATATTCTGTCTAATAGGTTTAAATAAAGCTCTTCAAAAAGATAAATTTATTTTGCATCTATAATGACGAAGTATATAGTGTGAAAACTTGATTTCTATTTATGGATTATACTGCAGACCGTTGTGGGTAAGCCACATGGAGAAGGGATAACGGGTATATGCTTAATGATAGAAAAGTATTTAAAATAATAATTAGATTAAAGACAGGTATTTATATAATTTAGAGGGACACCCTTTTCTAAGTAGCAATCCTCAGAATTAATTATAAGTTAAACAAAAAGATCAATTTGTAGCTTCAGTCCAGCTATCAGGTGTTGAACTATGCTGTTCTACAGTCAGTAGAAGAAAACATTCATAGACACATTCCACCGAAGTAATGAAAACATCTCAAGCGGCAATAGTTGGTAAAGGGATTTATGAAATCTAGGATAGCTTTTAAACACTTTGCTTTTATACTTCAGACATTACAAGTATCGGCTGGTCGATTTTAACAATACCGATATGAATCACATTAAAATATTAACATACCTTTTTATCATTTCGAAGCAAATTAATAACCCCATTCTAACAAACAAGATTATTTCATACAGTTCAACTACAAACAGGACCACAGTAGGTGATTGGAATTAAACATGAAAAAAGGCTTAAGTCTTCAAAGTGAACGCTTTATACAAATACTTACCGTTATTCCGTGCGCCACCATCATAAATAACATGATTTATTTTATGAGTAATGTATATCTTAGGCGGTTCACCAGATAATGACTTTAGATTTTCGCGTAATTTTTGAACAGATGTAATCTTTGCCTGTCTTTCATTCGCCCAGGCTTGTGATAGTAAATCCATCTGAATAAGTAAACATATATAACAAGTAATATTTAATTTAATGAAAGCATATTAGTGAAAATAACTTCTCAAGTATTGGTTTGTAGAGATTTGATTGATTGGTTATAGAATTTCATCATGATCTGACATAGAAAGAAATAGCTGTCCAGGTTTTCCAATGCTTCTCTATCTGATGTCAGCTCATGATGAAATCCTGTAGCCAATCGATCAAATCCCTACAAACCAATAAAACTTGAAAACCGGTATTGTTTGACTGTTAAGGGTATGGTATCTGCTTCACTCACTGTCTTCGACTTTGGATTCATTTTAACATTCGATGTATGGGAATGATATGCTGTATTTCATTTTTCAATGTATAAAACATGAAAATACAGGCACATGACATTGAGGCTAACGGGTTTCTTTCTTCTTCATTCAATTCCTTTTAATTTAATTCAGGATAAACAGTCAACTGAGTCTATAAAACTACTGTTGAATGCATAACAAAATGATTGTGAACTGTATTTGAATTCATTTGAAGAGTATTCAACTTTCAGTTCATAGTTGTGTAAATGTATAATCACAAAACAAAATTAATTTTATTTTATATGTTTATAAATTCAATGTACTAATGCGGCAAATGATTTATCATATGTTGAAAATGAAAGAGTACATCAGATGCCTAAAAAATGGAATTATTCCTGTATACATGAGACTAAAATCACCGATATCTACTGATAAAGCAAATGCAGCGCTCACACATGCCTCAAAAATATGCATCAAAGAAAACCTACGTGGAATTATACGAAAGCTATTCACAATAAGGAAAGATAATAATGAAGCAAAAGAAAAACTGAAAGGAGCAATTGAAAAGGAAAAGTATGAAAGCATACTAAAAGTTGCACAAAAACGAAAAGAAACTACCTATGAAAAAACAAAGAAGAAACAAATAAAAAAATTTAATAAACTCATGATAGCGAAAACTCCGAATGACAAACAAGTAACTAAAGCCAATTGGATTGTAAACTTGTCAGACAGAAAGCTAACAGAAGCAGAGGAAAGCGTACTGATGAAAGGGATGAACTTCAATATTAGCAACAAAAGATTAAAACCTGAAGATATTATACCTGTAATTGAAACAGCACTCGAAGGACATGACAAGCAAAAAGCAGAACTGGTACGAGCACAATGTGCATTAACCTTAAAAAAGCAAAAAGCAGAAAAACTGAATGTAACGAAGGAGGAACTAAAAGCACTCCAAGACATAAAAGCAGACAAATCCATTGTCATTACTCAAGCAGACAAAGGAAACACAACAGTAATACTTAACAAAACGAAATACAATGAAAAGATGAATGAACATCTACAATCTGGACCCTATACCCTAATGACGAAGTCAGCTGAAACAATCACAAACAAAACAATGAAAGAAACAGCAAAGGTAGTCAGACAAATGAAAGAAGTAATTGGTAAGTCAAAATGGTTTGAAATTATGCCAAAATCATGCAATATACCTAGAATATATGGCAAGATAAAATTGCATAAAGAGGGATATCCAATAAGACCGACTGTAGACTTTAGAAACACATCGACGTATATGCTATCAAGATTTCTCTCGACAATACTAAGACCAACAAGAGACAACTCAAAAGCTAGAATAGTAGATTCATTTGAATTAGTGAAGCGACTAAAAACCACTAAAATAGAGGAAGATGAAATACTAGTCAGCTTTGATGTAAACAGTCTGTATACGAAAATACCCATTCAAATGGCCATGAATGCACTGAAAGAGAAACTAAAAGAAGATAATGGCCTAAAAGACAGAACACAGTTATCCGTAGAAGAGATAATAAAAGGGGTGGAATTCTGTCTGACAACAACATATTTCACATTCGAAGGGAAAATATACCAACAAAATGAAGGAGTAGCCATGGGATCGCCTATCTCACCAATAATAGCTGACATATTCATGGATTATTGGGAAGAGAATGCCCTTAAACCATTCAGGTCATCACTAAAATGTTGGTGGAGATATGTAGACGACACACTAGTAATAGTGAAAAAAACGATATTGAGAAACTCTTCTCACACATAAACAGCCATGTCGACTCAATAAAATTCACTATGGAAGTAGAGAATAAAATTGGGGAACTACCTATGTTAGACTGCAAAATACAAAGAATAACAGATGGTAGCATTAAAACGACGCTATATAGAAAAACCACACACTCTGGAAGATTCCTTGATTATCACTCAGCTCATCCACTCACGGTGAAACGAGGATTAATACAAGGTCTTGCAGATAGAATACGTAGACTTACAACAACGCCAGAGGACCAGCGTAAAGAAATAAACGTCCTATTCAAAATGCTACTCGAAAACAACTACCCAAAAGAATTTATAAAAGATAATATAAAAAAGAGAAAAAAGAGGGTAAAACCGGAGAATAACAAGATGGAAGAATGCAAGAAAACAGTCACAATACCATATAAAAATGGTACATCAGAGGCAATTCAAAGAAACCTCAAAAATATCGGCATTCACACAACTTTTAAACCGACAAATCTAATCAAAAATAAAATAAATCAACTGAAAGATCCCATAAAAATGATGAATAAAAACAACTTGATTTACAAAATATCTTGTGCTGACTGTCCGACTAAATATGTGGGGCAAACGTCCAGATCACTCAAAATAAGAGTGAATGAACATAAACGCCTAACCAAAGGTCAACCAACAGGAACACAAGCCTACAAGAATCTTGAAAAAAATTCATCGATAGCTGCACATGCATGGGACAAAAACCACAATATCGATTGGAACAATGTGTGTATTCTAAAAACTAACATGAACAAATGGAAAGAAAGACTTATAACAGAATCGATATTCATTAAAGTCACACCGGATACATGTAACAAGGGTGACTCAGTACAACTATCAACAACTTGGAATATAATTCTGAATACAAAACACATGAATGAACAAAAATAATGAACTATATATATGAGTACAAATCATAAATGTGTGAATAAAACAATTCCAACAGTGGTGTGAACACGGGCAGTAATTTTGCTCGAAATATTACCAATAACAAAACTTATCATTGTGTGTAAACTATTGAAATATAATTATACTTTATTTGAAAGAGTACAGTTTATGACCTGTATTTTAGTCAATGCATCATTCTGCTTATTTAATTACAGGATATCCTAATAAAAAAAAACAGCGTTAAGCTTACTTTATTCATCGCTTCTGTTAATTCTTTTTCCTTAGTTTGTATACTCATACACTGGTCATTCTGAAGACTTCGAGCTCTAATCTCCATTTGTTTAAGCTGATGAATACGAAGACTATAACCAAAAGATAAGACAAAAAAAAGATTTAGGCTGGGAAACAGAAACATCTCCAAGGTATATAATTGTGTATACCATTTGTGTTACACATTCGCAAGTCTTTGTGATGAAACGCGATCAATTCCGAATTGAAGTAAATAACGGTGTTTACCTTTTTAGTTGTAGCTCACATTTGAATATTTCATGAAATAAAAATGATACAATCACTGTGTAATAAGGTCATGTAGTGGTGTAGTGTTCTCACAACTGATTAAGTGGCAACAACACCTCTGTACACACTATATAATAGGGAAGAATATTACAAAAAGGCACATTCTCAAATGTCTAATTGTACACTGAATATAGACACCGGGAAGTATAATGCTCAGACATATGACTTGCTTATTATTGCATCTAACATCATAAATACAACAATTATACTTAGATCCTACTTTGTAAATCAGTGAAATCTATTGAAGTGAGACGTAGCATTGATCGATAGTTTGTTTAACTATACACTGTATTTGTTCGACGTTGAACCAGTGTGTAATTTATCAGTTTTACTATATCCCTGTGCATTATCTTCAAAATTCAGTGTTTGATCCATATGAATACAAAAGCGTAAACTTCCGAACTATTCGACTGATGGATATAAAAGTTGACATTAAATGAGTTGAACCTACACGAGAAATTCTTAGTTAAGTTGAAATTCTAGATAAATTACACAACCAAGCATCTTCTAGTAGTATGGTTGAACTGTTTTTGATGGTGTGATAATGCAGTATATTACTGAAAAACTACAATTTATCAGGAAATGATAAAGCATATGAATTAGTCTAGTAGCAAATTTATTGACAGCCAACTTTTTCTCAAACAAAGGAGTCACACTTGAGAACATTTTGGATTTCACTTAGAAGCGAAATGTTTCCAGTGTGAACATTTCAACAACGCCAAGTGATTAACATGGTGTTATTTGGTTAATGTTGCCTAACAGTAGAATTCAGAAGGCACATTTCGTCCTATTAGCGACTTGTCAACTGAGTGCACCTGTATCTCAGTGCGTGATACTGTTCCCACTGAGATTCATTCATAGCAATCATCGTTACATAATCCAAAGCGTTCTAACCAAGTGAATGACGTTTGGTGTTTCGAAACACAGTAGGAACACTGCCACTCACTAGTATACAGGTACACTCCATTGAAGAGTGCCAAACGGGACGAAGATTGAACTCATTTTCTTTTGTTTTTACTTATGAACGGAAATCTGTCGTTGAAAAAGTATATGTTTTATGCATTCAAACATTTTTCTTCACAAATGCGTACATCTTGACCACTGTGATAATACTTAATTCCATTTTAGTTTATCTATTGGATATATCGCACAGTGAGACAGCATTATTTACTCGATGACGTTTCAAAAACAATTTATTGTTCATAATCATATCAGTTGTAACTACACAACTTTGAAACTTGATTTTATAGTTGTATTTTTGTTTCCCATTTATTGCAAGGGTGGTACAGTTTTGTAGATGTAGCAGAAATCTGTCTGAAAATGCTGAGACCAGCAATATGACGTCATCGATGATCGATAAATCACAGTTGGTTTTTAGTCTCTCAACGAAGTTTGAAAGTCCTACATAAATAAGTATGTTGAAAAGAGGATTTAATGTCAATGAAGCAGAAGATAAGTTGAAGTCTGAAGATGTAATCCCAAAAATATAAAGATTACTAAATGGAATAGATAAAATAAATGCACATAAAGTATGAGCACAATGTTCACTAGCACTAAAACGACATAAAAGCAAGGAATCTTTGAGAAACAAGAAATAGAAATCTAAAGTAACTTTAAGAGGAATAAGATCAAAATAATTATCAAATCACAGAAAGGCAATTCAAAAATAGCATCAGGCAAATCAGACCATTTGAAGAATTATAATATCCACATGCAAACAACATCTTATAAAGAAATTAAGAAATTCATCGACACTCATGTTAAAAGTTAAGAAATCCATAGGAGACCTTATACGCCGAATGAAACCGTTTTTAGAGCAGTCTATATGGTTGTGAACTCGAACATAGGTTGAATTATTCAGAATCAGATAATGAAGAAAAATGGCTAGTTTCGACATCTTCAGCTTATATACACAATCACCAGTAAATGTGGCTATAGAAGCAGTCAGGAACGTACCCTTTTTTGACCAAGAACTTGGACTTGGAACCAAAGTATATCACGCTAGCAGTGCAGCTATTTCTCACTTCTACAGCATTCCATTTTCAAGAGAAAATATATAATGAAATTGAGGGAGATGCTGTGGAGTCACCGATATCCCTGATTGTAACAGAAATACTCATGGATGAGTGAAGAAAATTAGTGATTGCAACGTTCAGTCTCACCCTTAGAGTGTGGTGGAAGTATGAGTTAAAAACACAGGGTATTGACAATTTTCTTGAACGCATCAGCTCAATGGTAAATACAATCCAATCCACTTACGAGTTGAAAAGTCATGAATGACAGCTTCCAATGTTGGATTTCAGCAAAAAACGAAACAAAATTAAATTTTAACACTAGCATTAAAACTTAGATTTCAATTCATCTCAACCTTTGCCAAGAAAATAGGATTTGAGGAATGTTTAAGTAATAGGACAAAATAACTAAATAGTACGAAAGGCAGGAAGCAAAATATACAAGAGAAGCTCTAACGCTTAATAATTACCCTGATAAATTAATCATGAGGTATTTAGGGAGTTATAGGAATAATAATAATAAGGATAACATGAGTGACAAGCAAACACAGACAGGTCACAATACAAAGAATAAGGAATTCAGTAGTGATGTCATTCAAAGCGGGAACCCTTGAAACCTTATGTAGGATTCTTGAAAAGCCAGAGATTAAAGTATTATTCAAACTCACAAGCTCACTTAGAAACAAACTATTTCAGTTAAAAGATCCTATGGAGCCCACGAGACAAAATAATTTAATTGGTTTATCTAAGACCCTGCAACGATTGTTAGAAACTTCTCTTGCTTGTTCTTAAACCTTCTTTAAAATCTTTGAATGGCCCAAAGCAATTGCTAATAAATGCGGTAGAAAGCACTTTAGATGCTACCACTGTACTACACCACGATATTGTTTCAAGTATTGACGAAGGTATAGAGTTTATCCCAAACTCCTTTTTAGACTACACTGATGATTTTAACTCCATTCCTAAAACGCTTTTACTAAGCAAGCTGATTTTAGCATGCACTGAGTCTTCGGTCACAAGGTAACTGTCTCCCTATTTTTCGAGTAGGAGACAACATGTTTTAAATGGAAAGCGCTCCAATTCTTTGCTTACGAAAGCTGGTGTGCCTCAAGGTGCTGTACTTTCTTCATTTCTCTTTCATCGAAAGCCAATTTCATTATATATTCCGATGGTCTGGTAATTTCTGTCCCAGTAGTTTGTGCATTGAATCGTTCCGATATGAATACGTTTTTATCTGAAGTCAACAAAAAGTCTCATTTAAATGGTCTTAAAGTAAATCCATCTAAATGTCACACTGTTGATTTTAGTGTCAGTCATGAACAAGACATGTGTGGAGTGAATCAGTTTCAGGATTTTTTAATATCGACAGAACTGTGATAGGGAGTAAGTCGAATATCTCCTATCTTGACATCACTTTCTCTTAGAATCCTTGTTAGTCGGCTCATATCTTATTGATTTCTAAGAAAATTTTTCGCTTGAGTTCTTACATAAAGCAGCTGAAACTCTCTGGCATAGCCTCTTCTCTTACAGTTTACTAAATCATGCGTTCAACCCATTCTTTTTTACTGTTCCTCCTTATTCTTTCCTGAACTTCTCAAGAAAGACTATGTCATATTACGTGAAACAGTGAAGGACGTAAGCAGGGTTAGTGGGGTGCATTTGACTCGACTAATTAACATTGTCGTTGATAGGCATTTGAATTCTTGCAAGCAGTTAGTTACTTTACTACTTTTACAGCTACTTTACTGCTCCTCCTTAGTCTTTCCTGGTCTACTGGAAAAGGACTATGCCATTTTGAGAAGGGTATTAAAGATTGTCAGTAGGGCAGGTGGTGTGCAACTTAGTCAACTTGTCACTACATTAGTTGACAGGCATCTAAACTTATGCGAGAAATGGTCTAAATCAATATTGTCTGACCCTGAACACCCAGCGCCTCTATTCTCAACTCTCCCTTTGTATCTCATCTGGTGGAACTAGAAGTCAGTACAAAAGATTATATGCTCATAATACTAATCATAGGAACTCAACGATATCATATGTGGCCTGTATTTTACGCAACAGAGACAATGTAAAGTGTGAAACTTATGAATTGCTATTCTGTTAGCTAAATAATCAGCCCTTTTATTATCTCCTATTTGTAATCTATGGTGACACTACCTCAATTAACTAACAATCTTAGCTACTCACATTATTATTAGTATTTACATTTATTTTTGTATATATATATATATATATATATATATATATGTCAATGACTTCACTGTCACTACAAATACCAAATAAGCACTACTATTAACAATCCTGTAATATTATCTTTATAATTGTTTTTAAATATTATTCGATAAAATTAGATGCAATACTGTACCAAATGCTGAAAATTCCACACAGTAACATTAGTACTGTTTTGGGATAAAGCAAATTATTATTAAAGTTATCCTGTCTGATACCGAACATCCTCTTTACTCGCAACATTTTCTTTGTATCTCCTCGGGTAAAAACAGAACAAATTTTATAAACATTTATGCTCGTCCTGAAAAATATAAAAATTCAACCATTCCATTATTTAGCAGGGGTTTTGTGTGAAGAGACAAGTATCAAAAGGGAGCTTATAAACTTCTTAAATCAGTAAACAGTTAGCAAAGTATAACAAGAATTATTATATTATTTACTCATAAATTCCTTATATTCCACAAACTTTCCATAGTTTCACTACTTTTATTATATTACGTATTCATACATTTATAAAAGGAGCTAAATTGTAGCGATATGTATAAAAATGCTGTAAATTCCTTTCTGTTTAATTTTTACTTGGAATAAAGCGGTCGAATTATTATTATTAAAACACATAGGTGAGGGTAGTAGGCCTGGGTCAGTTAGATTAATACAGCACAAGAACCCACAGAGTTATAGAGTAGCTGATCTTAATAAGATAGGGAATTTAGAAAAAAGCTCAGCTGTAGCATTACATAAAGTCACACACAACCATAAATTGGGATGAAACAAAGTGGCAGTATTAAAATCTGGAGTAACAGGGTAGAAAGAGAGATTGATAACTCAAGCTTTATTTATCGAATCAACCGAGAACATGCGCAAAGGAATGAGTCAACACCAATCCCAGACATCTACACTTAAGACAAATGGAAAACAAGGAGACAACTATAAAATCAAGTTTCAAAGTTGTGTAGTTACAACTGATATGATTATGAACAATAAATTGTTTTTGAAACGTCATCGAGTAAATAATGCTGTTTCATTATGTGATATATCCAATAAACAAGCTGATATGGAATACTCCTTGCGTAACTTCTGACCAAAAATATACAGTTAGACAGTTTATCAAAAAGCTGTTAAAATGGCATTTATGAACATCAGCTGGCAACAAAACATATGAAATTACATGTCAGAGAAGGATCGGTGAGCTAAGAAAGTTAGTTAAGTAGTCGTACGTAACCTAAAAGCACTAAGTGATGAATAGCGTTCAGAAATGACTATTATTAAAACAATAAGTGCATGCAGACAGGGGTACTGTTCACCAAATTAAAAAATTCAGAATATGCATAAAGTGTGTTTTAAGGTTACCTGTTTGAGAAGAAACAATGAATGAAGATGGATTATATAACAAATTATTGTAGAAGGCAACTAAAGGTTTAAGGCCACAGTATTGAAAGAGATTGAATAAACCACTTTTGTATATACATTGCAGGGTTTTCCTTGTGTGCAGCAAGAGCTCTTGCTGTGGACGGAAGATGTAAACGGAAACTCTAGAACGACTTGGCCTTATCCTATATGTCACTTTAAAAGATTTTTCTAATGATGCAGAACGATGTGTAACAATAAGGTGCTCAAGAATCGAGTTATTGGTTGATCTACCATTCTGGCAGACACTCCTGTGTACAATGCCTTACTGGTATGGTGTATGTACTTAGCCACATAACAGCAGGTGAAGTGGTATATATATTCATTAATACTTGGATGGGGATTATCCATGAATTGGTGTATACACATGGAAGAGTTCAGGGAATACCATTCAGATCAACTTACATGTAAGAGTGGTGCTTTTCATAACTGTGTCACACATTAATGACCTACTAATAATACTTACGCCCACCTGAGTGATATTTTAAAACATTTCCAATAGAAATGAAAGAAAGCTGTTGCAACCTAACCTAAGAAAGATATCTGCATGAATTTCAGAAAGTTCATTACAGAGATCGTGAAAATAAGAGGAATCTCTCTGAAATACACAACAATGCGTAAAGTTGCAGCATAGTATTTTACATCATACAAAAACACCGTTAAGTTATGCTTATTTCTGATAACCTCATCATCTTTAGTTGCATATCTAATATTGTCAGAACGGTCAACTTCCCTTTATGAATATTACCTAAGGCGAGTGGTGGAAACTTTCACGTCGATAGACAAGATATAAAATCTCAAGTTTAAAATATACAGGACTATCTATTGTATATAAGTTGTATTGGACAAGACAGGTGAAATTCTCTAAAGTGACGGAAATCTTGAATAGACTAAACATAATTTATGTAGACTGTCATGGATTTCAGAGTGGTTCTACCATGTAGATATATAAATTCGTTAAAAGAAAGTTAAATTAAAGAATCAATCTACCGATTCAGTGTATGAAATCAGTTTAATCAATGAGTCGATGCTTTGAAAGACTATCATTACTACTTTGTAAATCAGTAGTAGTAGTTTGAAATAACATTTCAAGCAGTTGTTAAGTTGTCAATCATATTACCTTGAGAGGCAATCATCCGTTTGTACTTAGGAGATGATGTGATTAGGAGAAAACAGTCACATGTATTTTTATTTAGTTGACAGGTAAAAGGAATTAAACATAGTAGTTGACATAAAAATCGGAACTAAAATATTTTTTCTTTGAATGTTAATAGCTGATTATAAAATTAATAATGAACTGGAAATACGAGGAGTGGTGGTCAAAGTTTAGTTGTACTCAATCTATCTGTGTATAAATAATAACATGTTCTAGTACTCATTAACAATGATGAAAAGGGTGTAACAGCTGAACACACTGGTTGTATATATTGCTTAGAAAGAGTTTGAATAATGAATATCTGAATCATTTGGTTGAATTGTCGGTCCTAACTATAAATATACATCATGACTAAATATTTAATTATGCTATTTACAGGTAGAAGATACTTCTTTTTTGTAAAAGAAAAGGTTTGTACATGAAATGCCAACAATTCAATATGAGCGTGAAGTTGAAACAACCTATTTCTGGTTTCGATTAGGGAACTTTGTAGGAAGCATTCATTTATATTCATTAACTTTGGATTACACTATCATCAGGTTAAATAAAGTGCCTCCTAATGAGATTGTGGACGAATTTTGTTAAGTATTTATAATGAGGCTACTTACTAATCAATAGGTGGAACAAATGTAACTGTCGCCAGAGAATATACATCTTTATTACTGTTTTATTACACTGTTACTTTAGAACTACAGGACACTAACCAAGATGCAAGTATAAGTAGGACAACAAACACTGCTGGGTTGAAGGGGATTAGAATAAAGTCATCAAAACAAACGTTAGATGAAAAAGATGTTTCAGCAGCATTCAATGAGCTAATACAACTTCAGAGATTTATCTTACATACTGTTTATCCATACTTTTACCGAATGGAATTGAAAAAAGGCGCTAAATGCCTTACAGTCAGTCGTAAGTTTCTTCCAGTATGTTCAAAGCTATTCATTCTGATGGAATTCGATGTAAACTGAATTCATGCAGCGAAAGAAAAACAATGGTGTATATTGCAATGCACTGTTTTTTTGCCTTCATGTTCCCCAGCGGAACATAGGGCTTCAAGCTAGTGGCTTGAAGTTTCTGTAGCAGTGTTTATTTTACAGGATGGGGTTGCTAGCCTCATGCCCAACCTTTCCTCTTCACCAGCATTATTTCTGGCTTAGCAAGGCAAAGGAGTGTGTCGACCGGGGATCGAACCCCGGACCATGTGTATGGTTGGCGAGCGTCCTAACCGCAATGTCACCGACGCACGTAATGCACTGTTACTTAGTGTTATTTACATAGGCGATAGAACATTGATAGATTGTTGAGATTGTATTAATTTAGTGATTCATCTTTTCATGTGTGGAATTAGTTGAGGAGGTGAAAAGCGCTGAACAATTTAAAAAGTTATACTTTAGGCATTTGTAGAACGGACTGTGCAACCACCCATGTTGTTAAGATGGTTAAAGTATTAAACTTTGGGTAAAGGCTTAGTATCAATAAGAGTTTACAAGCTCATAAAATATTACTTAAATGGAAAAAGTTACTAATGCATTGTGTAACTGTGCAATATATTGTAATATTCCAGTTGACTTACTTCATTCTCATAAGTGTTAAATGTATGACATCCTCCTTATTCAGCTTTTTCTGAAGAAATAAAAATAAAATGGGATAAATTAGAGGAATGGTTGGATAGATTAGAAGTGTTACTCACAATAACTGTTATTAATGTTGCATTTTGTTTTTACCAGTTAAGTGATTAACTGCATCAGTTTACACGAATGTTAATCTGTTAAAAAACAACAACATCAGAATACTTCATTTTTTATAAGACAAAACCAAGACAATCTCAGTGGTAATACTGAGTAATCAGCAGTAATTGAACTAATAGAATTTCATAATGAAGCACATATTTGCAAATGAAACAGAAAAGAGATTAAGTCAATAGACAGCACGGTGAAAATTCCAGTGTCCCAAATCACTGACAGAATCATTATGAATCACAACTTGTCCTCGTCAATCTATGAGCAATGCTATCAGAACGGTATTTACTATTCATATTTGCTGAAATTCTCATTCATAGTTAACGATAGAAATACCAGATGGTGCACACACAAAAGTCTGTCATTAAGCGTGGTATTGACAGATTCAAAACCATCTAAATGATACAAAATATCTATTTTTAGATGAATCCTTATGCAATCACTTGAATGAAAATGGTTACATGCTGCAATTTGTCTGTTACAATCACTAACAGGCGAATGTGTGCAGTATTCTGGTCAAAGTATGTCACCGTTCGACTCTGATATTTGTTAAATCATGGGAAATTCCCATTGTAACATATAGAAAATCAAAACAAATGATTCAGCGAAGAGACTCTTTTCAACGAATTTATCATCAAGATGTACAATCGTATATATATGGTTTTTAAGAAGTTATATCCGGGAGGAATTTTCAAAGTCATCTACAAGGCAAAGAGTAATTTACCCAAATCCCTACGTACCCGACTCATCGTATTGCTGAAGCTTTGGCTATCGAAACAGAAAAGCCAGATCTCTTGTACAGAAAAAGTTCGTCAACCCCTCCAACTTTCATGGTCTTAATCCCTCTATGCTAAAGTATGGTAACCCCATCATATTTTAGCTCTACCAATTTTTCATTTTTCAATTGTATACTCTTCTTATTACGTCAATTGTTACTATTACTACTCTCATTTTAACTGTCCCCGGTATTATTTCACTTGTTCCACTTGTCATTCTAAATCAATTCCTTTTCAACATTAATTCATGCTATTAAATTCACACAATATTACGTAACATTTTATTTTATTCGATGTCTACTAATCTATAATTCACACCTTTTCAAGTTCTATCCATCTATGAATTATTCTATATATGACATTAATTGCTTTGCCATTGACTTAACTACGATATAATCACAAACATTTCAGTTTTATTGCATTTCATATATTATTATTTATGCATTCACACCTAGTTAATTCCCTCACCGGATATAACTTCTTAAAAACCAATATATACGATTGTACACTTGATGATAAATTGTTGAAAAGAGTCTCTTCGCTGAATCATTTGTTTTGATTTTCTGTAACAAGTTCTACAGATTATTTGTATTCCACATTATATATAGTTATTAGTATTCATTCTTCGCATTCCGAGTGGGACGAACGATATTAACTGCATATCTCCATTGCACTCTGTTTTATGCCATGACTTTCAGCTGGCTCCACGACTGCCCACCAACTTTCATTTCCTGTTCTCATGATTTCCTTATTTCCTTCAACAGATATTCGATAGCTTTCAATGGTGGTAGAAGCAGATACATTAGAATAACAAAAAGGACCTATATTAGATTTTCTGAATATATACCGAGAAATTTAATGTAGATTTCGTTATGAACAAACATCAGTTATTTTTGATTGCACACTAGTCAGTAACTAGTGTAATGCGTCTAGTCCTATCTTCGGTGCAGACTGAATTCTATCAGTCATGTTTGCAATGTGGCCACCATGCTAGGTGGCTCGCCATTACGGTGGTAACGTCTCTGATGCAGCACTGGGTGACGCGGGTTCGAATCTCAGAAGGGACATCAGTTCCTTCAAGGTTGCAGATACGCCTTGCTGATGAGTGCCAACTAGCACGAAACCTAGGTCCAAGGCTTCCTGCCGATTGCCTCCAACCATCTAATACAAACATCAGTTAGACAGATCACTGAAAAGCACAAAGCGTCGAAAAGCTGTTTTGTCCTATTTCTCAGGACTCTCAATCGATGCACGCCAACAACCCTACAAAAGATCAAATCGTGGACCTTCTGGCTACGAGAAAAAGATCAGTGACAATTCAGCTACTCGGGGCGGAACTCAATCACCCATGAATTATAACTTCTGACGATTGCTGATATAAGGCTACCTTCAATGAGCATTACTACTTCACCTTAATAATGATAGACCACACTGGCCACGAGTTCTCAGTACAGCACATCAGGACACCTTTCCAGTAGGCATCAATGAGTCGGAAATTGATATTTGCATTATGGGATTCGTAGGGATTGTGACTCATTTCAATGTAGATTATTGATGAAATATACGTTGAAATCAATCCATATCCCTGTAAGAAAACCTATAATCCACATAGCGAAATGTCTACAATTAAGAGGAAGCAAATCTTTGAACAGAGCAGTCATAAAACATCTGATTGACACAGGGCGTGAAATAGATACTTTGAGTTATTTCTTAATAATAAACGAACAATCAGAACCAAGTTTGTTGAAGTTTGCAGAGGCTATAACTATCAGATGCTTAAACCTGACTGATGCAATTTTAAGAAAGCTTTAAAAAGTCTCTCTTTGTCTCGCTAACTTGTCTTTTAACTCTAGTTTATTATATCATCTTTCATCTAAATGAAAATGTGGATTTCTTTTTAATCTTATTCAGTTACATCACCATTTAATAAGCGTTAAGCTCCTTACTAAATTAACATAACACAAAATGTTTTTTTCTAATCTCATTTGAAAATATTAACACTACACCAGTGATTGAATTAATCTCAAATTGTTGGCCGAAAACAGCATGCAATGGAAATATGCAGTTAATATCGTTCGTCCCACTCGGAATGCGAAGAATGAATACTAATAACTATATATAATGTGGAATACAAATAATCTGTAGAACTTGTTACAAATATCAGAGCCAAACGGTGACATACTCTGACCAGAATACTGCACACATTCGCCTGTTAGTGATTGTGACAGACAAATTGCGGCATGTAACCATTTTCATTCATTCAAGTGATTGCATAAGGATTCATCTAAAAATAGATATTTAATATTGATGAACGCGTTCCTACGTGACATATGTTAACCAGTTAATGTATTTGTCTACCTTACTTAATTTACAATATTTCAGGTAAGGTGAAGTAATTGAAAAGAATCTAGAAAAGAATCAACTGATAAAAGTGAATTATTTTCAGTTCAAGTAGGTAAACACCCAAGAATATTTTCATAGGTAAAAAACTTGACTGTTTTGGCTAACTGTTCTCTTATGTGCAGTGTAATGTTTCTCATCTTTTAAACCTTCTCCTGAAATATATCAGCCTTGAAAATTAGGATATTTTTTTTAATGACTTCGTAGCAAACTTGTGTTGCTTCTCAGAAAAAAATATTCAAAACGTACATTAGCTGTCCTAATCTATTGAATTTCAGCGAAAATTGGCTATTTTACACAAAATGTACAATGAAAGGTTTGCCTCATTGAATTGACATTGAATTGAATTAGAACGGAAACATTTAGGGTGTTATAAAAATGTTTCAGTAATGCATTAAATAAAAATGAGAAACAGTAATAAACGCTATATTCGCGCAAGTGAAATTGAGAAGCCTTTGTATTCTCTCCACCGTATTCATAACAAACTAAATGGTACAACGTATTGATAGGTAAGATAATATCTGAAAGTTCCAATGAGATATTAAGAAGGAAAAAAAGCATATCAATACCTTAGTGAGTTTGTAGTCCAGATTTGGTTCTCAGCCGATTCACTCCTAAATGTCGCCGAGTTTACTTATTGATATCAAGACCAGAAAAAGAGGGTGGACTGGTTTTGAGGCTAGAAACTGCACCATCCATCATGTAAACACAACGTCATCGGTAATGAAACTTCGAAAAAAGATTTAAGCCCTATGTGTTTATCTCACAACGAAAGGAATAGAAACAAAATATACCCGTGACTTACTTTAGCGTCTTCTAAATCTTTTTGAATTTTTGTAATTTGTTCCTCTAAATCTTGAATTGTTTGATGAAGTCTATCATTGGTACTTTTGCATGAATCTCTGCGTACGGTTATAAAAGGAATAAAAGAGTGGACAGGAGCAAATTAAGTGAAGATGACATTTTTTTGTTTTTACAAAGTCTTCTCACAGAGAAAAAGCAACATTCTTTTAGGCATTCATGGGTGAAATAAGAAGTTACTTACGAAAGTTGTAAGTATACTTATACACATATACATGAAAATATTCATAAATTTAGTTTACAATAAAATGCTGCTTATAGCACATGCATACGCTTAACGTTCGTGATAGAGTCGAACTGAGGCGGGAACAATAGCAAAAAGTATTGCAAGAGTATTAGTTTAAGAAATATGAAATTCTTCGAAACCTGACTAATATTGGTATGTCATCACTACTTTAGGTAAGCCGTTCCTTGAATTTAGTTTAGAAAAGTATGTAGACAAAGTTCGTGAAATAGAAAAAAAACTATACCAAAGTACATATGCACACCTGATTTGTAAATAAAAGTTATAAGAAGTATTCATAGCTCTCCTCATTAATCCTGATGCTTGATTATCTTTTTCATTCATTTTGCGTTCAAAGTGGAACATCAGGCTTCAAGCTTGAGCTCTGAAGTTTCAGTAGCACTTGTGTTACTTTTACTGGATGGGTTTGCTAGCTTCACACCCTACCTCCCCTCTTTACCGGGGTTACCTACAAGCTAAGAGATGTTTAGGAGTCCATTAGTCGAGATCGAAACCCTCATCATGTGCGTGGTTGGCGAGCTTGATTATAGAAAATTTTATTTATACAGTTAAAAGAATCAGATTCAGGAAAGACAGGTACATGAGTCTTTAGTAACATATTATACACACGCAGTTCAGTGGGATTTTCTCAAAATATGAACTGGAGGAGGGACTTCTCGAAGCAGAGAAATTCTCAGAAAGAATGGAAGTAAGGAGGTGGCTGAATGTTCGGTCAAAATTAGACTTTTGACTGATTGTACACAAGTTTTCAGAACAATCATAATAATAGTATAATGGACCTAAGATATACTGTAGGTCACTGAAAATAAGGCCATCGTAAATTCGAAACCTGATCATTTATAAAAGTAAACTGTATGCAAAGCACTGTTCAGCTACAACCCAAAAAAACATTCCAAACATTTGTTACATACACGACACGTAATGATTTCATCTCAAAAAAATTTTTTCAGATTGTTAAAGTATGTAACTATCTAATAAATAAAAAGATTTTTCAAGTATTCGTTTGTAGGGATTTTGTTTGATTGGTTAGAGGATTTCATCATGAGCTGATATCGGCTAGAGAACCATTGGAAAACCTGGGTGGGAAAGTACTGGTGAAGAGTCATAAACTAGGACGAAACAGCTGTTCAGTACTCTCAAGTTTTCGAATGGTTCTCTAACCAATGTTAGCTCATGATGAAATCCTCTAACCAATCAAACAAAATCCCTACAAACGAATACTTGAAAATAAATGAGATGCTCACAAGCGACTGACCCTATTCAGGTAGGCGGTCCTAGCGGGAAGTCGTAACCAGTAGGGTACAGCAGGTCGAAAATGAAGACAGTTACTCGTCGAAGACATTACTAAGTGGTCACACTATGTCATGAACTGGCAGAAGTTAGAGTTCATAGACCATTGGATCGGTTCCCAATGACTTAATGGTCTACAAACTCGCCTTGTAACCAAAAGGTTCTGGGTTCGAACCCTGGGTGCGTACTAATGAAGGGTCGCAAACCAGGACAAAACAGCTGTTCGGTACTACCAGGTTTTCCAATGGTCCTCTAACCGATGTCAGCTCATGATAAAAACGATTTTTATTGTTAAATGAATTTTAGATTACTTTTTGTACTCTTAGTTGTCTGTATTTTAGCTATCTATTATCAGCATCCCGCGAACATTTTAGCAGTTAAAATTATTTTTTCCATTTACAAAACTTATTATGCTTCTTGAGTGTTTGCTTTATCATAAAACGAAACCAATGTATAGGCCTTCGTATGTGTCGTTGTCAAATCTGTCATTACATTTAATATTGATTAAAATCGATTTGGCTTTAATCCCCATACTCCTATCTCATTCTTTCTATTCATCTTATTGTTAGTTGTATGCTCAATGAGTGTATCATACCGTACTCACTGAGCTGAACAAGTAAGCTTCAGGCTCAACAGCTCACTCCATACTGATATTGTATCAATTTGTGGTAGATGATACTGCGCCAAGATTACTGAATGTTGCCAGCTCTTACGTGACCTAGTGTGTAATTACTCTTCGAATGATTACATCAAGGTATACTTAAATGATTTGTGAGTTTCGCCTCTAAGCGTTAGGGAAGACCAATTCGGTTACAGAATGCAAGTTTCTTGCTATTCAGGTATAGTTTTTCTCAGAATATAAATCTGGTTGTGGGTTGACAACATAGTGAAGATTAATGGTACCATATCTTCGCTTCATGTTGTATTGCATAAAAATATCTACAGAAAGAAGAAAATCAAGTGTGATCGTGGGTGTATGTTCACCAGGTATTTTAATTTAATCGGCCTACACGTCTTTGTTATGATGAAATAACAGTACTCAGAAAAATTCCAAACATTGTTCCACTTCATGTTAATGTGTGAATCCTAGGTGAATTCCCACAAGCGAAATCAAGCACCACAGGTAAATCATTTAGCGAGACACATAGTTTCACAGTTTTGAAAGCACAAATGTAATGCAACTTTTAAGAATTATAATGCTTTATCGTATTGCCAGACGCAAACGACATGGACACCTGTTTCAGAAAGAAAAATGATGAAACAGCTCTAATTATATAGGCATTTTTAATTGATACGATTCTATGGAGACGCCAATAATGTCAAAGGCAAAAATCAAAGTAACCAAATCAAGAAATAACTTACAATTGCTTCAGGAAGTCATACAACTGCCTTTCTGGTCGACTGCTTAAATGTAATATCTCAGCATTGAGAACACTGAGTTCCATTGATAGTTTACAATTTCTTTCCTTTGCCATATTCAGCATCACCTGGTGTTCAGTACAAGTTGTCTTGTATGAATTCGATGTATTCTCCTGATAGCAGTTCGTATCGAGTAAATCGGAATTATTATTATATTGGGAATTGAAAGCAACAACGAAATTCGATAAAGTAAAGTTACATCGCAATATATATATATATATAAGCATATCTAAACTAATTATATTAAAGAAACCATTACGGTATTATCTTCAATATTATTGGATATGACTACTTTCTAAACAGCAATTTTCATTACACAATCGTTTAGTAAATACCATCTACACGTGTAAGGTAACTTAATTTTAGTTTAAGCTAAACAAATAGTCAGTTATGAGTGGTTATTACTATTATCATTCCCTTAAGTTCCGAGTGGAACATAGGGCTTCAACAACACGTCTCCACTTTGTTCTGTTTTCTGCCATCATCTTCAGCTGGCCCCACGATTAACCATAATCTCTCATTTCTTCCACGTCACCCTCGCACTGACGACCCACTCGTCGCTTCCCACTGGGATTCCACTCGAATGATGGCCTGGCGCACGATGTCACTCGAAAGTCTCCTCAACGTATACCCGATCCATCTCCACTTTCTCCTACATATTTGTTGAGCGATCGGCTCTTGGTTGGTTTGTTGCCAGCCAGAGTTTCTTGTTACTAATTCTTTCTGGCCAGCTGGCCATTTGATCTTCAATGTGGAGCCAGAGAAGGCAGCTGTTGATAAAAGTCTGCAATGGCCTGTTTGAAATAGTTTTCGTGATACGCCAAGTGTCTGACCCATATAGAAGGACCGACTTGACATCAGTGTTGAAAATGCGAATCTTGTTCCTTATGCTGAGTCAGTGCAGAAGATTTCAAAACTGGTTTCAGATTGATGAAGGAGTATCTTGCCTTTCCGATTCTGGTCTGCTTTGACATCTTCATCCGTTCCGACTGCCTGTAGTTGAAACGATGCTTCCTAACCAGATAAGTGGAGGTAACCTTTCTCAAATCTCTCCCGTTGATGGTGATTGGTGCTGGTTGTTGTTGCTGTTGTTGGTTGGTTATCTTCATCACCTCCGTCTTCTGTGTTCACCTGCAACCCTGTCTTCTCTGCCAGCCTCTTCTGCCAGTTTGTTGGTTTTCTCTTGCAAGTCTTCGAGTTTGTGTGACATTAGACATATATCATCTGCGAAATCCAGATCTTCTAGAGTCTTCTTATCGGTGGTCCAGCGTATTCCTGTCTCCTCGCTCCCTGTGCACAGTCTGACGCATAATCCAGTCCACCACAATTAAGAATATCATTGGTGGTAATAGACAGCCCTGTCTTACTCCTATTTTCACTTCGAATGCCTCATTGAGTTTCCCGTTGTGGATCACTTGACACGTGGCACTGTAATATAGCTGTTCAATTAGGTTATGAGTGGTTACATAAGTGTAATTCATCTTTTAGTCAGAAAATGAGGGCCATATAAGTCTTAACACTCAACATCTTGATCTGATTATCATACTGATGTTTGAAGTAGTTTGTCTTACTGAACTTTGGCTTTTATGCTTAATTACTGGATAAAACAATGTCACAATGTTTTTAGCCTAAAAGGATTGTATTAAATAACCGAACTGTTGGATTATTGATTTTTGAAACTTTAAATAAACAACATTCTCAAAGAAATATCTCAAATTGCACACTACGTGGAAATATGGTGATATTTAATGAATTATCGATACACTTTGAGGGCTTATGGTGTTATCCCAATTTTGGAAGACAGAGTTTAGTTTATTTCACTCTTATTTGGTGATTTAACTTTTCTGGGGTAATTAATTATCTGTAGGCTTTATATTAATAAAAACAATTACGAAGCCTCTATTGCATTTCTGTAAAGTCAACGCTATCTCTAATATACAGTTACAGCAATGGTCTTCAGACATCTTATCAAGCCTGATGCGATTCAAACCCCACGTTGAAACAGATTCAATTGAACGTTGCATTGAATTTTCTTTTAGCCTTATTACCTTACGGCCAAAGAGTAAAACATCTGTTCAAATTATGTTTGGTAGATTTCATTATTTCTTTTTATAGAACCGGTAATTAAATGTATTCATTTATTTTGTTTCAATCCTCTCTTACACTAAGCATTGACTGGTGGTCGATTCACCTTCTTATGATGACTCATTGCATAATGAGATAATCAACATGCAGATTAATAGACACAGTAAGTGATGACTTATGTGTTTCAACTGTTAGATTTTCGTTACGAACAAACATCAGTTAGAGAGATAACTGAAAATCACGGAGCACTGAACAGCTGTTTCATCCCACTACTCCAACAGAGATCGAACGCGGGACCTTCTGGCTACGAGAACAAGCTCATTAATCGTATAGCCAATTGGGCTGGAATTTATTCACACATGAATTATAACTTCTAGTAATTCCTGATATAACGCTACCTTCAAGTGATGCCTTCGACGAACATCTCTACTTCACCTTGATAATCATGATAGACCACACTGGTTAGGACATGTGCTACGTATGCCTAGTCATCGCCTTCCTCGACGGGCAATGTTAGCTGACATAGGGCCAGGCTGGAAAAGAGCTAGCGGCGGTCAAACGAAAACATGGCACCAGTCAATGAAATCCACAACAGTTAGTCTAAGCCACGTAGGAAGGTGTAGACTTCCTGTTGGGGTCCTCGGGACGGTGAAAACCAATGGTTGGAAACAATTGGTGACATTGCTCAAAATCAATCTCAGTGGCGCAGATGCATCCACTCCTTGTGACTTATGATCTCCAATTAAACTGTTTTGTTTTTCATTATTACTATTCCTTTGTCTCACACCTCTGTTTACTGTCTATATTATTATGCATTTCTCCTACTTTCTTCTCTTGCTTTGTGTGCTACATGGAGTGTGGCGACTTGAACTGCCGCACATATATGCAAAGTTCTATGTCGAAAACCGACCGACCGACCGAGACCACACTGGCCACGAGTTCTCAGTACAGCCCCTCAGGACACCTATCCAGTAGGCATCAATGATTTGGAGATTGATATTTGCATTATGGGATTTGTGGGGGTTCGGATTCATTTCAACTGACAAAGTTTGAATTCACGGGTCACTAGTTTCAATCCCAAGCAGCTGAATGGTGAACAAACTTCGTCTCCTAACTCACAATCTAGATCTATGCGTTAAAGTACGGATAAATAAACTCTTCAGATTAGCATAAAACACTACAATTTATGGATGTCAGTCATTGTAGGACGATATAGAAGTAAGTAAAACACAACAAAAATTCGTCTTCGAATTGAAAGTTACCCGGTTTTCACTGTGATTGCATAAGCTGACGTCATAAACCTGTTGAAAAAAAGAAATGCAATCGGTATCATAATAAAAGTGATGAAGTGTGTTATGAGGTAGAAGATTAAATAAGATTAAAGTTCTCTTGTATACTAGATTAAATTGTCTTTTGATCTCCACATAAAAAAATAACAAACATTTCACGAAATGTCATCATAGTGTATTTTCAAATATATTACTTTACTTCTGGGCTAAAAACATAGTCTTAAATGCAAAGGCTTCAAAACGCCCATGACACTAATTAGTAACTAGTGTCCAATCAAAAGTATCCAATACAGTCCTACAGGAGGTCAATTGTGAGCCCAAATAGCTCAGTGGTAACATCTCTGACTGCGGCACTGGGTGATGCGGGTCCGATTCTCAGAAGGGACATGAGTTCCTTCAAAGTTGCAGATACACCTTGCTGACGAGTGCCAATAAGCAGGAAACCTAGTTCCAAGGCTTCCTGACGATTGCCTCCAACCATCTAATATCCTTTCATTATCTTGATATACTTCTTATTTGTTAATGTTTTAGTAACTAGAGAGACATACTCCATAAATGATGTCCTTAGACATTCCGGGAGCTTATCTACTGCACATTTCCTGTGGGGGGTAACCACTTATATTAGGATGGAATATCTTTGTTAGCCTTGGGATTATGATCGAAGCGTGCGCCGAGATAACAACCTGGTCGGACAATTTTCGATTGATTTATTTTAGAGGATCCTCAAGGTTATGAAATCAATTAGATACTGATTACCAATTTGTCGTTTAAATTCCCATTGATATGTAAACAATACATACACTCAGTATTGCGAAGAATAAGTGTTGGTGATTTTAGCAGTTGGCGAAGTGAAATCTGACTTCTAATTGGTCAGTTGTCTATAGTTCTATGTATGAAGGTCCATTGTAGTCAGGTTAGAAAACAACCAATAGAAATTAACACTCGGTTATAACAATTTCATTCCTTTTTATATGTGTATGCAAAGAGTCTATCTGATTTAATGCATATCATTTCAAAGTCTTCTGATTCGGATAAGCTCTGCTCCGACGCAGAGATTGTAATCAATTTTAGGATAATGATTTGATTCGAATTAATGACTAATGAAGGCCAGGGTAGTCTTTATTTCACTGAGTTTAACGTTATGCTTCAAGAACTCACATTATCTCTCACTGTTGCTTTTGAAACGCAATCCGTTGATACTTTGATTCAATGTAATTCAAAACACTTAAAAATATTTCTTTAATTATTAGTGTCATATAACTGTAGAAGCTGATAAACAAGTGATAGAATATATATTCACTGATCAGTCTTTTAAATAAAAGTCAGCATAGCTTTTCCAATTGGTTCATGCTGTAATCTTGCTGAAAAATGCGATCAGTGCACAGGATGGAAGTTTTCTTACAAATCATCAAACTAAAAACCAGTTTAGCTTATATGTATCTCATGGTTTTTTCGTCAGCATTATTTTTTGTATGATTATATCTGAGCTAACCGAATCTCCTATTAGGCAAAAAAAGGGGACTAAATTTTAATGAGTATATGATAAAGTAGCCACAAACCTAAATGCCAACTCATCTTTCACAGAATCTGTATAATTATTAAATAGAATTTTAAATCTATATACCATACTCAAATGAATAGCTGTGCATTTATTTATAAATGGATTAACAGAATGTTGTTTATTTACATTTACTACTAATAAGTAGTTAAAAGTTTCATTTCACATGAATAGATTTCAGTAAGGCTTTTTGCCAAGGGATGATGACAAAATACTAATAGGGTGTTTTGATGTAGTTGTGTTCTCTGAGCTGGATAGTTCATTTGCGAAGCTTTCATTGCCCTATTAGGCAACATCTTCAGCGCATACTTCAATTTAGTTCAATTTCATACTTCAATTCAATGAGTCATCTCTCTCTAAACAGGAGAGACGACTAATAAACTCGTGGAGAAATCTAAAAGCTCACTTCAAATTGAAGCATGTGCTGAAGATGTTGTCCAGTAGAACAATGAAAGCTTCGCAAGTTAACTATCCAGCCCAGAGAACACAACCACATCAAAATCATCCACCTGAGCTACAGATCTTCTCCATCATAACTGATAGAGTGCTATGTGCAAGTTAATTATTATTCAGTAAAATACCGAAAAAAACTGGGTTGTAAATAATATAGTAAGTAACTACTCTTCAACAACTTCTGCTCTCCAGAAAGAAAAGACCAAGAGTTGAATAGGTGTATTCTTGTTAATTAAACAAAAGCTTTATATCCTAAGATGTGTCTTCTAAGTGATAGAAGAAGGATGGGGAAGACAAGGAAAAACTTGGTTAGTATATTTGAAAAAAATGATTGCATCTATGACGCTTAGTGATAACATATTCCAAATTTTGCCTAACAAATAATGACGAAATGTGTCTTCAGAAACAGAATCAAAAGCGACGAGCTAAGTTTATGCACTAATGACAGGTGAAATTACGGGACAATGGTGCCCAAGATTTTTTAACCATGAAAACTATAGATGACGCAGACATAATCAGTTAATCATTATTCACTGAGTTTTCCTTTCCTTTTATTAACGATATTTTTCTCTGTAAAACACCACTCTTATCAATTTGAGCAGAGCAAAAAATAGCATTTTTAAATGACGTATGGAAAGCTTTAGTTTGCAAACAATTAATTCTCTAGATTTATCATTACATAATCAGGCTTGATAATAATATATATAAATATATTACTTTTGGCCGAAGAGGAGACAGTGGAAGATCTAAGCTTCGTCGATTATTTATTTTTAAAGTGCCAGAAACCCCGAAGATTTACAAGCAAAGCCTAACAAGTCGTAAGAAGATGCAGCGAAGACAGGAATTCAAATAAACATACACAAGATAGAAGCGATGAAGAACCAAAACAACAAGAGAAATTCACTCCTTTCACCTATCTAGGCAGCATCTTTCCAAATGCCGTGGCACCGATAAGAATGTCAAAGCCTCTATAGGAAAGGCAAGACATACTTTCATTATTCTGAAGTCTACTCCAATCAACGCAACAAACAGGTCACAATTTTAAAACCAATGTCAAGCCATTGTTCTTTCGTGGATCAGAGACTTGTCTTGCTCGTTACGGAAAGCATTTCCAACAATAAGTCTGGCAACGAACTAACCAACAACCTGTTGCACAACAAATATGCCCATGAGAATCAAGATAGATCAGTGACAATCTGAGGAAATCTTTGAGTAACATAAACAGCGCCACACCCTTGACTGGATCCTAAGGGGGAAACGAGTAGTGCGTCCTTGGGTACTGTGGAGAAAATCATGTGAAGAGGAAATGAGAACTTATCAGCAATCGTTGAGCCATCTAATGAGGATTGCAGAGATTAGAGTGAGCTGGAGACGTACTGCTAAAGTCCAATGTCCCACTTGGGACTTTAGGGAAGAATAGGAATACAATAGAAGTAATCGGAATTCATCTGAAGTATCCAAACTTGTGTATCCAGAAGAAATTCATACACTCACCTTCTTTACTTTGGGTATTTTTACGTGAAAATAAAAATAACAGTCCAACCTCCCTAGGTCATTTACAAGTTAATAATGTTTCAAATATCTTGTTATTTGGCCTGTTTCATATTCCGCTATTCCTACGCAACTATTTAGATCACTTACTCATTTTTCTTATTTTTCCCGAAATAATACCCTATGTAGTCACTTGTTGGATACAATTTATTGGTTAATTGCCACCACCTTGGCATGATGATATTGATCAATTACTTTTCCAAATTGAACACTACTAGACTTGTGAATTCCGCATCAACGAGGATCTTAGTGAAAAGTAAATACTTCGCTTAATTTATTGCCTTCAAAATGGTTTCCCAAAGGCTTTCATGGTTGATAACATAGTTTTAATAGCCTAAGAATTGTGAGTGAAATTAAAACACGATATCTTGCAGTTTAGGAACAGTATATCTATTGGATAATAACTTGGTAATTAACCTTGTCAACAAGTAAGCATGCTTTAGTAAGTCAGCGTATCTGCGATGCAATACAGAACCAACACAATAATGGCCGTCATTCCACAATAGAGCGACTTTATTTTATATGACAAATAGTGTTATTTATTTAATCTTAACCTCCAGTATGAGAAGGCGACGTCCAAACCTTACAGATGATCCTTAATAAGTAAGCAGAGTGACACTTGAGCATAGAAAAATCAGACAGAAATAAACTCTGTGTGTCAAACGGCCCTACTACTCCAATATGATAAAATATCTTGCTATGACTGTGAAGTCAAATACAATCATCAGTCCATTAGATCAGGATCCCTAGTGTTGTTGCGACATAGGAATTCAGCTAAGTGTAAAGTAACTGACCCCATAAAGATGACCAAATTAGAAGAATACTCAATGATGCATGCACTAAAACTCAATCACGCGATGGGATTTGACAGAGGTAAAGTTCCGATAAGTAATACAGATAGGTGGATGTGGAAGCTGATCATTGATTCATTCACTGAAGTGATTAGGCATTTCAACTTGTAACCACTTGTTGATATTTAATTTGGTGTTAGTGATTTTAGTTCTCATATATGAATTTATGATATGTGATGTTGGACAGGTGGGAGAATGGCTCATTAAATGGTCGATTTAATGAAAAGCAGCCCATACAGGGCAGACCACTAACTTCGACAACTGCATACCTGTAGCTAGAAGGAGAAACCTTATCCGTTCACCTTGTTCTAGAATTCGGAAAATCTGATCCAAAGATACGGTTAACAAAGAAAGTGGAAACTTTCTTATCATACTACTATGTAATGGATATTGTAGACCATTTATTAAAACAAGTACGGAGGAAGAAATAGTTCTTAGCCAAATCTCAGTGTTAAAGAAGACGATACTCATACGTTTGGTGGCATTCAAAGGTGACGCTATTGCTTGAATAATTATATGCCGTCTATTCAAGTGTACAAAATGCTCTTTTTGTGCCACTGACTTGCACCCGGTATTCTCAAGCCGAAGTAAAGTTCAACAGTGAGTGACGGGCACACCACTATTTGTTCCTTTCTCTATGTGCATCTATTGTTTCACAAGCTCCTGTGGAGCTGATTGCATTAGACGTTTTAAGCGCGTTTATTGAAAACCTGCAGGTGAACACTAACTACATGATTTGTTTGATGAAAGATAAACTTCAGATAGTAAGATTTTCTATCTGTGTATATTTTCTAGATTCACGTGATTTATCCTTTAAAGTTCTCAGCAATGCTAAATTCAGCTCCCCGAAAAGTTCATGTTTTCACTCATGTATAGACAGAGCTCTAGAAATACATAGACAAAAACCTAAGCTATGCATTCAAAGACTTTTGTTAAGCCCCTTTCATTACCTTGGTCATACTAATGTTCTTTTTTTTATTTTATTGGTTAAATTCATCCCAATTCAATTCATCTTTTCCTTGTTTAACATGATCATCGTTTCACTGCCAATTTTTGACACCATCTGACATTATTTGAAATAACTATACCCATTCTTACATAATAATCTTTAAAAATTTTGTAATTCATCCACCTCAACTTTACACTCTTAATAATCATATTAATTATCTTTATATATATATATATATATGCGTCGGTGACACAGTGGTTAGGACTCTCGCCGACCATGCACATGGTCGATCCCCTGCCGACGCACACCTGATATCTATGGTCGGCCTGCAAAATTTGGGCTACCGATATCACATGCTGAAAATTCCATACCTGTACCAAAAACTAATCACTATTGACTGAGCAACTTTTACTGTCACTTAATGGCTTTATTCACAATAAAAATACGACTGTAAATTTTCAAAATTTTCAAGTCACTGAAAATAAATATTTCCTCGCTGAAGAAGGCCGTTTTCAAAAGATTGAGGAGTAAACAAGGAATATCATTTATGACAACTTCGTCATCAGGTTATACAGTTACGTGGCCTTAATAATTAAAGAATTATTGTCAATAACAACATTACTGTTTTAAATCATACTGAATCAACAATACCGATAGATTACAATTCTAAAGCTTATGTAAGTGATATGGACAAATACAACACTAAACTAAATATCAGATAAATTTAGGAAAGAATACAGGTGTACTGAAAACCATCAACAGTTCTATATTGAACCATCTCGTTCAAACATAACACAAATGTAGTTTTGAAGAGTCTTTTCCTGTCATCTATCAAATACTGAATATATTAGCATAGGCCTCTAGATCTTGGAAACTCCAATCAGGCTATTGAAATTCGATTAGAACAACCGGAGATTTACATGCAAAAGAAACAACTCCAACGACTATTGCTACCCTGTCATGTTGTGGAACCTATAAATACATAAAATTCTCTGTTACTTTCCTCATGTTTAGTATGATGTTGTATTGACTCATATTACCATTTTCAGGTGCTTTTGAAGGGAATCTGTCGATATTCTTGTTTCAACGCAATTTCAATCGGGTCCCAGTGGCTTTATGGGCTGCAAGCTCGCCTTGTAACTAGGAGGTCCTGAGTTTGAACCCTGGCGGTGTGTGCGTACTTTGAAAAGTCCCAAACTAGGACGAAACAGCCGTTCAGTACTCCCAGGTTTTCCAATGGCTCTCTAACAGATTTCAGCTCATAATGAAATCCTCCAATCCATCAAACAAAATCCCTACAAACCAATAAGTGAAAGACTTGTTCTGTTAACAAAAAATATCTTAAATAATTATTATCACATAACTGTAGAACCTGATAACGAAGTTATCGAAAAGAATATTCTTTGTTCAGTGATCAGTCTCTGAAATTTGTAATAGGTATCTTTAATCAGTTAAAACTGCTAATTCTAATTCATGATACCATAGAAGGAAACTGTGATGAGACATTGTCACAATTTACGTACGAAGAGAGGGTATTTGAAGCAAATTTATTTTCACATTATTCGAACAGAGTTTCTTAAGTTATGTTTCCATGTTATACTAATGAACATAGAATTGTTTCCTCCTTAGCTGATGATCAGTTTATCAGTTGACAGTTTCGAGGAGAAGAGTAGTGGTTGCAGTGGTGATGTCGCTGAATGCGGTCCAGGATGAGACGTGTGTGGATCTTCGGCAGATCACAAGTTCCACATCAAATTCGCAGGTATGCTTTCCTGGTGAGCATTAAAAAAAGGTTGAGATTTAGGTTTAGGGTTTCCCATTGATTGCTTTGAACCACCTAACAATCTTCATACATATGGGTGCTGCGAATTATCACTAAGTTTGTAGAAACGTCTTCTAAAGGATTCCTGAGAACCATAAGACTCAAATCTACGATGAAACACCGTGTTTTTAGCTACTATCTATGCCGCAGATGTCAAAAAACTGAGTGCAATATTGAGATTGCTAATCAATTAGTGCTCTTAAGAAGTATTTATTGTGAAAACAGTAAACAGTGTTGTTATTTTTGCCTGTTTTTATCTCCATAATACTCCTGTTTAGTTCAAACAGTTCTTCAGACTGAAAAGGTTGAAAGAAGCAATAACAAAAAAATGTAACAACTTTCACTGGAAATTGCAATTAAAACGTTAGGGTATAAGTGAGATTATATTTTGTGATTACGGTAGTGATAAATATCTACAAGGATTTGATGTATAGACACACAAAGGAATTTTAATATCAATAGTTCTAGCTAGTATGATTTAAACTGAGCAATCCAAGAAAAATAAACAGTATTACACTCTCCATTTTTCAGTGGTAAGTGGCATCGAGGATCCTTAATTCATGACCTGAGAAACCGCCTTTCTAAATGCCTGGAGAAGACGGTTTAAACAGCAGCCACCTTACGTATCACATTATCCCTCAGACAGTTAGTCCAGTCTATCGTTAAGGATAAGATACCGCTTTTGGCCTCCTCGATGGGTATTTATCAATTTACTTGATCGTGTGTTGCAATGTATATCAACCGTAAGCAACGTCAAGTTCACAAACCTATTCTGGAACACTGTCCAGCTTGGTTAGCCAGAGGAGAAAAGAAGAAGAGCAAGAGCTCCATCCTCGAACACCTTGTAATTTCTGGACATCGAGCACCTCCGCATGAGTGCTTCACGGTGCTACACAGAGTCCCCCGATATCGTACAAAGGGACTTCGCATACGCCATCTGCACATGGCTGAAACATTATCTATTCAGGACCTGAAACCGAAATTTTGCATCCAAAAGCATTACATACATTCACTCGTCCTACCGTGGCAACAGTAAAGTTCTTACCATAATATTGATTCTTTTTATTATCTTATGAAAATGAATCGTCGAAAAGAAAATTTTCTTCGCTGTTTACATCTTTTTGTTATGAGACCTAAGTGATGTTGCTTTCAGCTCTGCAAGTAAGAGGGTGAAGAGAGTAGAAATCCTCTTCAACTGAGCCTACGAATTTGTTGACAATTGTAACTAATATGCAGTTTTAATTCCGAAGAAAGTTTTGCCATATTACATATGTAAACTTATATTATTCACATTGTGCGTCGGTGGTATAACGGTTTGGACGCTCGTCGACCATACACATGGTCTGGGGTTCGATCCCCGGCCGACGCACTCCTTTATCTCGCTGAGCCAGAAATAATGCTGGTGAAGAGGAAAGGTTAGGCATGAGACTAGCAACCCCATCCTGCAAAATAAACACTGCTACAGAAACTTCAAGCATCTAGCTTGGAGCCCTATGTTCCACTGGGGAACGTGAAGGAAAAGAATTTAGTTAGTTTCACAGATATTTCTCCTGAAATGACATGAAACGAATGTGTTGATAAGATAAAGTGTTCAGAATGTGAAGTTTGCCATATAAGCAACAGACCGGTGAAGTAGAATTAAAGTGTCTAGGGAAAAGATCAGTTATTGTGATGCATGCTTCAAGAAACTGGAATAAGATTGATTTTGGCAGCATCGGAGAGTTAGGAAAAGATTTTCACTCACATAAAGAAAGACCGAGATCTGAAGCCTTGTATATTTTAACCATATTGCATGCGACAGATAGGAGAGAAGGCATATACTTATTCACCTATCTAGCAGATTCTAACGAAACAAGATAGATAAAAAGTATTCGTTGACATATTCTTAACCTCCACTTGTCACTTGTGATCATAACGAATTCTTCATACAATAAACAACGCATATATACACATACAGGCAGAAATATGCAATAACATTTTAACAATGGCTATTCGACATTATCATTAAGATATACGCTTAATTGCATTTATTCAATTGGTACATTTATTTACCGAGGAAATACCTTCAGATAAGTTCCCTAATACTACTACTAGTCGATTATATATCTTGATATTCATAATTCGATGAATTCAGATGAAGAAGACACGACGAAACGTCCAGAGAGTTCTTGTTTTTTTTCTAAATACAGATTTTAAGTAACTACATAATGATCCAATCCGATTCAAGCGCTCAAAATTATTTCAGGAAATTCGTAACATCTATGGTCAGGATATTTACAATCAGTCCATTTGCTTGACTGAACTTATATAAGTTTCAGTCTTTTCATAATCAGCTTTGCATTAATACAAAGTGGAAAGTTTCACTGACAAATCATCGGTGAACAGCAATTTATCAGTTAAACTGATGTATTATGTAAAACTGGAGACTCACTTGTTCAGTAAGCGTTCTTTGGTAAGCTATTAATCGTTTGATTATGTTTTGGTAATGACACTGATAAGCATCATAAATTATGAGTTTTTGTTTCCTGAGCTGCATAATTTCCTGTCCAGTATTTACGCTGCTGCTCACTAGACTAAAGCAATAATTGTGAAATTTATAAAAAAAAATAGTATTAAAGATTATAGTTGCTAACGCTATTACGTATGACAACAATTACGTGACTCAACTTAACAAGAAGTCAATAATAATAATAATAAAGTTAAAAATGATTTCACAGTACTAATATACATCCCGGTTGGAATATGATTTCCAAAAACTCCATCTTCAACAAAATATTTCAGTGAAATAAAATTTCAAAGTAAACATTAGGAAAAGGATTTTACTGAATTTGTAGATAAATTTAATCATAGCATAGTTCTAGCGTTTCAAATAGCTTCATCACCAGTTAACAATACACTTTGCTCCTTCAGATTCAGTGTCACTTGGAGTGACAGAAGACCTAAGTGGCCAGCTAATTTGACGATAAACACACCGCTGATACTCGTGAGGACTGAAGTGAAGTGATGGCTTAACTAATCGCTGGATCTCGTAAATCAGCTAGTAAAGCACCAGACCAGTAATTTTGAGGTTAAAATACTGATGTGACCGAGATTTTCATTTCACCTATATTCACTACTCGATAAATCGATTGCAGTCAACCAATCTCAAACTGTCTCATGATCAGATAATATTGATACGCTTACTAATGTCATACACGATGCTTTTACCAAATATACTGATGAAACTGTTACTGCTCATGGTTACAAAAAACGTTTGAAAGTGTTTTGAATTTGTTACAGGATTTCATCATGAGCTGACATCAGTTAAAGAACCATTGGAAAACCTGGGAGTACTGGACAGCTGTTTCGTCCTAGTTTGGGACTCTTCATCTGTACGCACCCACTGGGATTCGAACCCAGGACCTTCTGGTTACAAGGCGAGCTCGTATACCATTAAGCCACTGGGACCCGATCCAATGGCCTATGCATTCTATTTTCTGCCAATTCACGACATAGCGCGACCCCTAGCCAATGTCTTCGGCGAGTATTTGTCCTCACGCCCGACCTGCTGCACCCTACTGGTCACGACTTCTCACTAGAACCCCAGGTGACTACCCACCTGAATAGGGCAAGTCGCTAGTGAGCATCTCATTGATTTTCAAGTGTTGGTTTGTAGGGTTTTGATTGGTTACAGGATTTCATCATGAGCTGACATCAGTTAGAGAACCATTGGAAAACCTGGGAGTACTGGACAGCTGTTTCGTCCTAGTTTGGGACTCTTCATCAGTACGCACCCACCGGGATTGATTTATAATGTATTTGAATTTATACGCACAGTTCAAAACGTTGAAAGGGGATGGCTTTGGCTAATAAAATGCTGAACTTCTGAATTTAGTTGTGTTCTCTGAGTTGGCTGATTTTATTGCAGAGCTTTCGTTCTCCTTGTAGACAACATTGTCAGAGCAGGTTTTAGTATGAAATGAACTGATTCGAATTCTCCATGAATGATATTTATTTGTATGCCCTGACAACCATTGTCGTGACTGGTTGTTAATTTACGTCTCTATTGATCATTTTTATTGACTTAGAACTTAAACTTACCTGTGGTGTGATTCATATTTTATTAGTTGGTAAATTTAGTCTATAGTAACATGTTTGTTAATCAGGGATTCCGTTGAGTATCAGACTCCTAGAAATTCCCTGGCATTTTTCGTGCTTTTTATATTTAAGATTTCTACATCATCCCAATCAAATTCGTTTCCATAATTATCTACGTGCACTGGTGCTAAAGAATACATATCGTGACTTTTTACAGCTGATTTATGTTCTTGGATTCGGATTCAAAAGAGACGCCCATCTTGACAAATGTAATGTTTAATGCAGTTCATACAACTTATTTTGTAAATGTTTTTAAATTTATCTTCTTTTTCTATCGGGTCTTTCACTCTGTACAATATCGAATGAAGTGACTGTGCTGGCTTGTGCGCTATATCTATTTTAAGCAGTCTCAATATTCTAGCTGTGTATTTCAGAGATATTTTTTATATATGGTAGAGTGAAATTTCTGTGGTCTTTGACGATGGTTTCTTGTTGGTGTTACGACTTGAGTTTAAATACTTTTTGATGAAATTCTGTGGGTATTCATTCTTTTTGAAGACGGTTAGTGGTTATATTTCTCCCATTCTCTTCAGCGATTAACAAACATATTACTATAGACTAAATTTACTAACTAATAAAGTATGAATCACATGACAGGTAAGTTTAAGTTCCAAGTCAATGATCAATAGAGACGTAAATTAACAACCAGTCATGACAATGGTTGTCAGGGCATACAAATAAATATCATTCATGGAGAATTCGAATCACTTCATTTCATACTAAAACCTGCTCTGACAATGTTGTCTACAAGGAGAACGAAAGCTCTGCAATAAAATCAGCCAACTCAGAGAACACAACTAAATCAAAACCATCCACCTGAACTACAAATCTCCTCCATTATTTCAAAATTCTGAAGTAATATGCAGTTGATAAACTGGTTTCAGTACTTGATGCGAAGTCAATATCTTCAATTTTGTCCTATCGTTTGAATGCTAGATACCTGCGGAAGACTTCTCGTCAGTTTTTATAACTGAATACTGTCTTTTATAAAGTTTCTACAAACTGGCTTAAGGAGGACACTGCTTCCATCTTGCAACAACGAAGCATTATTATTATTATTATTGACTAAGTTAATTAATATCAAAATGAATTATTCAATAAAAAAGAAACAGTTATTTATGGCCCAATTAAATATGAAGCATTTAGGAATACAGTGACCGAAAGTTATCACATAAATTTACCTTTCAGGAGTAACTGTATTGCAAGTTATTTTTCTGCTATGTACAATATTACCAACACCTTCGATGGGCTGTGAAATGAAATGGAAAAAATGAATTAAGATAGTGAGATGAATGGATAGAACTTATAAATGTATCATGAATTATCATGATGTAAAGATTGAAACACAAAAATAGCTTCCGCATAAAGGTTTCCTGATATCAAACCATGACTATTAATAATTTCACAGATATCTTTCCTCCTTCTCTGTTAACCTGAAAGTCACCACAGTAAGCTACAGAACTCTGAATTCATGTCATTCCCCTAATTTATATTGTTTTATAATTCTATTTATTCCATTTATATGGATATTTTTTCGTATATATACCAGAGTAGTGCAACAGCTTCTAAATGACTTGAAAGCAATCATCTGTTGGCAATTTTCATGAGATCATGTTAAGGACAAGGTAGTCGTCACACCAGCCTTCATTTCCAGATCATATTAAATATAAAGCAATAACTTGAATATCTTTTAAATTAAATGACCAGTAAATAGTTTATCATTCTTTAAGGGCTTCAATATTTTCAGAGAGGGATTTTCCAGTTTTTACTGTTATTTCAGTTAGTTCTGACAGAAATATGATAAATGCAGAAAAACTCATGACTGGGAACTGAATTTCAGAAATACTTCTACTCAAGTGGTAAAATCTTACACCATTTTCTCCTCTACATAATTGACACTTAAGTTGTTGGAATTGTCCGCGAAAGTGCTACACTTTCTTAATATCTAGTCATCATCCCATGATTAATAGTTATCAAGTAGGGGTAATATAATCTGTAGTTGCTTCCTTTTCCTTGGTTTAAATCAAAAGCTGATACAAATACAACAGCAGTGAAATAGTTGGTCAAGCATTAAGAAATATTTTGCCATCTATTTCAGGATAGGAAGAATTTCATTGCTATTCTGTTCATTCTCGTCAATCGGATTAACTATGAAGTAATAATAGTGTGAAGCCAACTTTGAACTGACTGCCACTCCATCTATTTGCCTGTATATTTCGTTGTTAAATCTAAAGTAGACGTTGAGGCTCCATCGTAGTAACAGTTCCCTTTGATAATGGATTGATATACCAACATCGGTGCTATTAGAGTGAATGAAGTTACAAAGAAAGCATACAACGTCTGTCAGTGTAACGTTCGGCAAAAGAGAAACATCTGGGGAGACCATTTTCCTATCTGCTAAGTTGACATTCGCAATGGGATCGGAAAAATCGAATTTGTCCTGGAGGTTGCGTCTTGACAGCTTTTCTTTCCCTGGCCCGAGAATCTCTACCAGCGATTAAACAATATGGATAATCTATCATATATAATATAGGGCGGAGTGGGACTTCTTGTTTGTGTCCTTTAGATAAGCCGTACATGTGTGGCCGTTGTAGAACCAGATGGACGAAGTTGATCGCATAGTTTCGTGTCAATAATGGATTCGTCTTCCATTTTCTTCAATATTTTTGTCAGATGAAGCTCCATTTGTTCATTGAAATCTTTCTAATCTTTGGAATTTCTAGTCGGATCTTCCTGTTTATTACACTTCGTAATCTTATTAATTTGACCCTCGACCAGAAATAGTCCTAGAACTTTCTCACCCATTTACTATAAATACACGAATGTACAGTCTAGTTGATGAAAAGAAAATTTTCTTCGCTGCAACCATCTGTCTTTTTAATATTTCCTAAGATGTATTCGTGTTAATAGTGTGTGCATGTAGTCTTTAGAAGTTTTCACCATTGCACGCAACTGCCTGAACAAGTTTTTCACACATCTGTAGGCAATTCTCACTGTACATGAAAAGTAAGCCAGTTCTGCAGAAACAGTTAAACTTCTATATACACGATGTATTAATCCAATTAGGAAGTCTATGCTTAATGGTCACACCTGAGGATGCCAAAATCAGCCAGGATTAGAAAAGCAAGACAAGTGTCCATTTACCTTTAGTTATTTTCGACTAACAACATTCCTCAACGAAGAAGGCGGTGGCTCGACCTGCACAATGTGTTCTAGTCATCTCAGTCGATATAGCTTCACAACCTCACTGATTGACTTCCTCTCCTTATCTAACGCTTAACGCCTGACCTGAATATCGCTCACCATATTCTCCCACTTAACATGGGAGATAGCAGGCGAATATTTGTGGTCAGAAGTAGCGAGCTGCTTCATATCTTCCACTTCAAATGGTCATGTTCCACAGTCATAAAGAAGAACAGGGCGAACTACTGCTCTGTGGGCATATCCTATTTGTCGATAACTGCACTTGCGCCTATGTCGGAGTTGAAGTAAACTGGTCGTTAATGCCACATTAGTTTTTTGTATTGGTGTTGAGACTTTGTCAGGAATCCGTCATTAGGGCTCATACAACTTCCCAAATAAGTGTGAAGTGGTCAACAAGGTAAACCACTTCACTCGCTGCCTTCAAACTGGGATTAAGTGCAGACTAGTCCTTCAGCATCATCTTGCGTTTATTAGGGGTAAAATGCAAATTGAACATACCAAGATTTCTTCTTAAGGTGTGAAGAATACTCTGCACTATGTCAGCGTCTTCACCTAGAATAATAATATCACCCTCATACTCTAAGTCGATGAGACTGTACCCTTGTAACAAGTCTCTAAAGTCGATTAAATTCACATCGGATACTGTTTCACTTATCCTTTCATTTTTACAAGCCTTTTTCATAATGTGGCTTAATAGTTGTCTGGTGCTACCTACCGCCGATACCCTTTCAATCTCTTCCCTTTGTTTGTCGTCCACCACTATTGCGGTGACATTTAGTCACCTCGCGGTTGAGCAGCTTTCTCTTCTCATCATGTTCGGAGACAACTGAAATTGGTCTTGTGTCTATCGCTTCGGATAAAGTAGCACGAACCCACTGGAGCTTACTAAACTTTGGTGTCAGGTTATCAGCATGCTTTACCACTGTTTCTACAGCTGACTGAATATGACGCTAGGCTTCCTTAAAGAGCGTATTGCGTTAATCTCAAGTAAGTGGTTTACTTATATCTTCCTTTAATAAATGCTTGGTGTTCTCGTCAAGTTGAGGATGTACTTGCTTCAAAGCTGCCTGTTTTTTTAACCGTTTTAGGAAAGATTGCACACCAGGAGAGACTATTTAGTTATCACAACCTAGACAGGTACCTCAGCACTAGTGGCAGCTGATAAAAATAACTCGTTTAATGATTTCAACTCTTTACCACCCAAAAGTTCTCACAAGGCTGAGTCCAACGATTACACACTTAAAAAATATTCATGTGGCTTGAGTGGCATTTATCAACTTTGCATATCACTGAACACTAATGTAGTGTTCTTATAGGTATTGATATCTAATGTCGCTTGCCTTGTACTGATTCTGTAGTTCACGTCACATTGCGACGTCTGACTTGAAATCTGAACAACTCAGTCTTTAGAAAATGCTATTTAGCAAGGGAAGAGATGGCTGTCTTTCATAATTGATTTGTTCAAACATAATTACTGGGAAAAAGTGATCAATGTAAATGAGAAACACATCAGGACTGAAAAAATGGTGATTATACTATTTAAGAGTTTTGTAGGCACTTATAATCTAAATCATATAAATCTTCATAATGGATAAGATTTTATTTTATTAAATCACACAGTGTTGTACAGTTAAATTAACTGATGACGTTTCGAGCACAAACTATTGCTCATAATCATATCAAGTTGTTTCAAGTTTCAAATGTTAGTTGTACTAGCGCATGAAGAGTCAAACTACAACCACAAAACTTAAGGTCTCTTTCTTTTCTTAATGAAACTAAAGCTCACAAAATATTATTTCCCGCATATTTTGAAAATTGATGAAAATAATTAATAAGACAACAGTGACAAAAGTACAAAAGCTAGAATTTTACGTTAAACTCACATGAAAAGTTGTTGTGAGGACAATGTTGTTGTTATATTTGTTCAAATCATTCTCATTATTAGAGATGTTAATACAACCAATACTGTTGTTATCTTGACTGTAACAATTATTCTCAATAGTATTTATTAATTCCCTTGGAGATGTATACTTGACAGCCACCTTTAAATTATGAAACTGTATTACCAAATTCCTAGATCTTGCATATTCTTGCAGAAGTTTACTCTTGATATCTTTTATCCGTCCACGTTGTCGCTGGTATGCATGCTATGTAAAAAAACACATTGTAAAGTAAGAGAACAGGGAGATTAAATATAGAAAAGAGATAGGTAAAATAGATCAGAAAGGTACCGAAATAAGTATAGTAATTATAATAAAAGAAAAAACTCCAAAAATCAAAAATTGTACCAATGTACTTTATGAGATTCAGACAAAAGTGTAAATCCAGATTATCTACAGAAAGCCAAAACTAATGTAATATAGGGTGATAAGCAATATTTATTGAACGACTACAGGAATAAGGATCAATTATAAATATTCAAAATGAAATACTACACCATATAGGATAAACTAATGTTCTTAGTGTGAGACTTCTTTAATTTATTGGAATAAGTCGAACAACTAGTAGAATGCTGGGGAAATAATATGCTCAACAGTCAGGGATATCAAAATGAGTTATTTATTTAGGGAAAATCATGGACACTTAAATTTGCCCAGAAAGACAAGGGAGTTTAGCAATTCTTACCTTATGAAGAACAGTTGAGTATTTACGTGGAATGACTTCACAAACCACACCTACTCATATCTTATCACCCGTTTTCACTACAGCTTGACACATGGAAACTAGAAACGCGTATGCTTATCATACTTGATTGTCAATAAGTTTTGCATATCAGTCTAATGCCACACACACACACGATTTAAACTGTCTACTGATAAAGCTCTTCAACCATATTTGTTTAATTGCAGCATTAAGTTTTTTATAAATATAGTCACATTTCATCTGATACAAAAAACTGATCATTTGTTTTAATAAAGCGCAATATCTCAGAATCAAAGAAACTTAGTCTTGCATAGCCAATAATAACTGTCTTCAGGAAGGTAGTGCAACGAAAAACTTGGTGACTTCTGTTTTGTTTTTCTATTGCTATATGCTGTAGAACTAAAATGTATTACTAAGATCCGTTAAGTTTAAAGTTATGCCATGATCTATACTTTATGTATACTCAAATGAATATGCACAATACTAATCACACAAAACAATAGGGAATGAATATTATTCACTATTTGTGGTAGTATTGTCAAAACGGTAAAACTCAGCTAATTTGATACATGTCAAAATAACACGAGGAGATGGAGTGGAATCAACAAAAAAAATACAATGAAAACAATGCAAATCAAGTAGCTCTACGCGCTGCTTAAAGTCTTTCTGATCGACCACTGCTAAATAATATCGCATAAAGAAGCAAACCATAAGGACTAATGTGAAGTAGATGTTACGATACCTATGTTTGATAGTTTTCATTTAGCACTGCATTGACAACGACGACTTCAGAAACACTTCAAACAATAGGAAGTGTAACAATAATTTAATAACAAAATGACCTCGTGACACGTGAGTGGTCAAAGACCGCCACAACGAAATCCTCAACCTCACCTGGTTTTATAACCAGTAGTAACCCTAGAAAATATGAAAGACTCGGAAAGAGACTAGCAACACCACTCACTTAAAACAACACCAGAGCTACCTTATATTCTAGAAATATCAAACCAGTAATCAACACTGTTTTATTATAATGGACAGTCATTTTTAAATATGAGTCACTCAATCGCTGAATAATTTATTACCTGTGATTGTAAGACATCATTTCTACGCTTTTCTTCAAGCTTATGTGATATTTCATTTTGACATCTGAAAAATAAAATGATGTGAAGAAAAGGTAGTAGTTAAATGATAATACATTCCGAGATGTTTTCTTCGTAATCAAAAAAGAAATCATCGTTATGGCTTTGATCGTAAACCTTTATTCATTTTTGTTGCGAATGGAAAAGATTTATTACCTGAGATGTAGCTTAGACCACCTGACAGATGTATTTGGTTATGCATAAATTTTAATCACATGACTACATAACACTGATGGTGTTACTGACACAAGCTGGAAGAAGACAGACAATATATTATAAAAGACTTCCTCCCATGCAGCGGCATAATATCAAATTATTTCTTAGACATTTTTCCAGATCAAATGATGAATAACCTATAGTCTATGTTACATGTAGTTTTGCACTTAGAGCAGCTGGAAAAACACATTCAAAGTGATTAGGCTGTATTTCTGACACAATGAAAAAACAATAAGTTTAGTACACAGAGGCCAATATGATTTTCACTGTTTCACTTCGTATATTCGTTAAGAACTTCCCATGTTTAGTCGGACACACTGTGATGCAGAAGACACTAACTAGTGGTTTCATAGTTGAGTGAAGAGTTTTTGACTTCCCTTGGTAGCCATGTTAGACCAAGTAACACTAGAATAATCTCAAGGCATCGTAAAGGTCTCCACATGAGGAGTTGACCAGTCGACAGAGACTAAGCATTTTAACCAATTGCTTTCAAATTGGTTGTTTCACTTCAAACTGGTGTTAATTTAGGAGATATCAAAGACCAAAGAATAGTAGACAGTTCGCAGCCAGTTGCACCAGAAAGACCAAGCTAAAACTCAGTCAATTTTCGTGGTAGTTACACTGTCATTCAAACACTGAGGTACTCTATGATACATGATTGTGATCTTACAATTTATTATACAGCACGAACCACCCAATATCCTCAATGAACAAGTTTTCAATATATCTAATTTTGTATCGTCTACCGATCACATATTTCTCAATGTAAGTTATCGAAAATAAAACTCGAAAGCTAGCCTTAACTGAGAATGAAGTACGAATTGATACAAAACGATTTGACATTGATTTGCAAACACCATACTGAAGCTTATTGATGAGTATGTGATAGCTTACTTGCTTTTTTCCTATCAGACATTGGAGAGTAACGCATGCACACGCTAGTTTACACTTTAAGAATACCTATACTGTCTCCAATTATTTCGAAGTCTGTTTAGAACTCTTTTAATTTTTGAAAAAAGTAAAGGATAAATGTCAAGTAGCTCAATAGAATGGCAGGCAAATCTCTACCTCAGGTTCATGAGTAATGAAGAGGCCTTCGAGAGCCTTGGCCACGAAGTTATTTGGAAACTACTTCAAAACAACGGATCGTCCCAAATCCTTACCAAACTCATTCGACAGCTATATGACAATGGCACATGTCAAGTGATTCACAACGGAAAACCCAGCCACTAAGCCTTTGAAGTGGAGACAGAGGGAAGACAAGCCTGCCTACTGTGACTGTTGATATTCCTAATTGTGGTTGATTGGATTTTGCTTTGGAGTGTGGGCAGCAGGAAGACAGGAATGCCTTGGATTGACTGATAAGAAGACTCGAGAAGGTGCGACCTAGTGTCTGGTGTCAGTACTCTCGAAGACTTACAGGTGAAAACCAACAGGCTGTCAGAAGAAGCAGCAAGAACAGGGCTTCAAGTGAATTTAGAGAAGATGTAGACAGTGAAGATGCTTCTGTTAGTGACATCATGACAACCAATTACTGCCTCAGTGTTCTCGTAATTGTAGTCTGGGTGATCGTAGTAAATTATTAACTTTCCAGTTAATAATTTTGAGAGTTCACATCCATTTCAAATGCCCCTCCAAATTCCTAGAACTTCTACGCCATATCTTCGCATCTCTTCAGCCACCGGGGCAGCTTTCTCAGCTTTGGACATCGTACGAACATTCCACGTCGTCGTTTTTATTCTCGCTTTCATCGAAAAAAGATACATCGACTGGCTGACTAGCTTTGCGAAGGCTTTCGCCAGCCAGTGGCATTTCATCTCTCCGACTCCAGAGAAAAATAAGTTTGTTTTTGATATTTTTTGTACCTTTAATATTTCCCTTGTGCGTTGAAGTTTCTATAGTATTTTGATTGATTTTTCGGGGTAGGGTCTCTAGACTTACACCCAACCCTCCCTCTTTCCCAGGCTTGAGACTGGGTAGAAAGCTAGCGAGCTAGTAAATTAGGTGAGGTTTTAACAGTAAAAACTGTGCACTAAAATTAGTTATGTAAGGTTGAAAGATTTCGCGCCTTTCTTTTGAGTGTGTGTGTGTGTGTTGCATGTGCATGCATCCTGAGAGAACAATGAGTTTTTGTAAGTGCATTTGTAAGTGTATCTTACGTTCATCATCACTACTATTGTTGGTATGTCTAACTGATCTGATAATATGAATAACAGTTACCTCATTTCATTTAGTCCTATTTATTATACCTGTCAGTAATACATAGTAAACTAAATAATTCCTTATAGTACTTTTATGTATTTATGTATCACAATAAAAATTATAAATTGGTTGGTTGCTTTAAACTGAAAATAGTTGAGACAATGAAATATGTAGTCTAGAAACATTTATTAGGCTCAACACCCACGTAAATTCAGGAAACGTGTGTATCTTTTAGTCTGTTTAGGATAAGAAATACTGGTCAATAATCCTAATTACTTATATTAATTTAACAATGAAATTAATTAAGCAGATGAAATAGTTTTAGATTATAAACATCCAGACCATAGATGTTACGAATTTCCTGGAATACTATGAGTGCCGAGTCTGATTGAATCATCATTAAATTACGTTAAAAAAACTCCAGCGTTTTAGACTGTCATTCATACGGAAACCCCAGATATATCTACCTTTAACGACTGATGCCATTATTAAGTAAAACACACCAAGCAATTTTGAACTCATAGACTAAGATCTGTGTTATTCGGTAATGAAATAGAGACTGTAGCTGCAGAACACCAGAGTGGTTGATAACGAAGCATTTATTTGCAATTTGACATACACATAGGGAAATTATGTGTGCCACATAACAAAATCGTCATTTTCACAGGTCTTCCGTGTTGTGCGGACTCCAGTGTCAGAAGATAAATCATTTTTCTTGACAATGTGAATAACCATCAAATGTAGGTATAACGTGTTCTTCTTATCTCACTGAATCATTCAACATCACAACTCAATTTTAATGAATTATATAATCAATAAACTGTTAATCATAACTGTTTTGAAGAACGTGCGTTGCTCATTTTGTTTCATCATGATATACTGCTGAAAAACTAGCTTCAACCATCAGTAGAACAGCTAACTTATAACTAAGTATTAGAAATGATCAATGAATCAGAACTAAGTGCTAAAGGAAATCTGAATAGCAATAAGAAGCATTTCAGAGACATCATCTTTAGGATCTTTTAGCAGCTTAAGAATTACCTTTCACCTGAACGGTCATTATACTACCCGATGTTCCCTGATTTGCCAAGTTTAAAAATATCCAAGAATTAACAACCACAAGCAAGGCAAGCTTTCATTACTCTCAAGTCTGTGTGGAGATCAACAACACTCAGCATGAAAATTAACATCCGGATTTTCAACTCCAATATGAAGTCAGTGCAACTATACGGATCAGAGACTTGGCGCCGAGTCATGAAGGCCACTTCGAACAAACTACAGACCATCATCAACAGCTGTCTTCGCTCAATACTCAAGATTAGATGGCCAGGAAAGATCAGTAACAGGGATCACTTGGAACGAACCAACCCATCAGGAAGCAATTGTGCAACAAATATGCAGGAAGAAATGGAGGTGGATTGGCCATACTCTGAGAAAACAAACCATCATCGAGTGACATCACACGATAGGCTCTCTATTTTTAGTGGAATCCGAATGGGAAGGGGCGAGTTGGTCTTCAGTGCGAGGATAACATGGACGAGGTCATGTGAAGAAGAGATAAAAGCATGTAGGCGGACGTGGAGCCAGGTGAAAAAGCTGGTGGAGAACCGAACGCCATTGGGACGTGCGGCTGAAGCCCTATTTTCCTCTAGGAACTGAAGGAAACAATAATGTATTAATAATAACAACCTTAAACCAGATCTTCTTAAGATATCGACTTTTTTTCATTGTTAAATCAACTTAGATTGTTTAAAAAAAGGATAGCACTTACGATTTGATATGTGTTAACTGTTCTAATAACTTTACATTGTATGCATGATATTGTAAAACTTCATTTTGTAATTCACTCAGTCGTTCTTGAGCACAACTGATAACACTGTTCACCAGAAATAATTCATTATCACTGCATGTTTTATCTGCTTCTGATGGATAGTATGAGAAACCGGCCGGGTTGTTTTGATCATCAGTTTTAGTCATTTGTCCAGATGAACATCTGTTCAGTCTGTTTAATTTGATAAGTCTTAGGGAATTCCTAAATGGTGGATTGATTAGGGATTGATTAATATCTGTGTACGAATTTGAAGAATTCCTCAGCTTATCTAACTTGGCATTTCTCCCTGGAAAATTGCGATGACGTTTATCGTATAATTTTGATGCTGAGGTTGAGCTAATTTCAGAGAATGGGTAAGCTTTTTTCACACAGTTGTCTTCTTTTAATCTCGGTAGACTGCCTCCACGCACAAAACGGGAAGTAGATATCGAAGGATCCTGTGAAGCTTTGTAAGCATTTCCCGGCAATGTGTTGCTCCGGTGAATTCTATTTACTGCCTAAAGAAGTAGAAAGTACAAAGTTAATACACAACGATGGAATAAAAAATAAGTCAGATGCTAATTTAACGCAGTTATTAAGACCACTGGGAAATTAATCAACTTTATCTTCACACTGAGTTGTGTTTAAATGAGTAGTTTCGTTGACTTTACATACTATTTAATGAATGGAAAATGGTCTTTTAAAGTTTAACGGTTTTAGTAATTATCAGTAAATTTTGTATTTGTACAGCGAAATTCTTGATTTCATTTAAACCAAGCTATGAAAGGACCTTAATATCTCTTATCTTGCTAACTACCTTACAGTATTCAACCCACATCTTAAACAGTTATAATTATATCACTTTTTATATTGTTTGTGTTAGGTGGAGAAATATAGTTCGTAGTATTAAGGTGTGGAGAGCAAAAATACTCGATTAGATCGTGAAGATGTTACAGATGACATACCGCCGTCTTGAGATTAAGATAGTATTATAAGTGTCCAAGTATTAAATTTATTACAACTGTCGATGCTTAGTGTAACTAATCTACTGTAGTGGAGAGGGAAATACAGAATAAATTAATAAACTCCTCCATTCACCATTTGTATTCCTTAAATGGTTCGTTGTTTTCAAATATTGGTTTGTAAGCATTTGATTGATTGGTTACAGGATTTCATCATGAGCTGACATCGGTTAGAGAACCACTGGAAAACCTTGAGATACTTTACAGCTGTTTCACCCTAGTTTGGAACTCTTCAGCAATACGCACCCATCGGGGTTAGAACCCAGGACCTTCTGGTTACAGGTCCGTCGTGAGGACAAATATTCGCTGAAAATACTGGCAAGTGGTCGCGTTATGTCATGAATTGGCAGAAGTTGGGATTCATGGGCCACTGAGTCGGGTCCTAGTGGCTTAATGGTCTACGAGCTCGCCTTGTAATCAGAGGATCCTGGGTTCGAACCACGGTGGATTCGTTGTATGTTGGTGAGTATCTGAAATTATTATACAGTTGTTTGTTCCTAATCAATGTGTACATTTTTGTCTTAGGCAATGAACAACGTTTTTTCACCTATTCTTTAATGGAGTCTGTCATGTAGTTCCCTATCAAGCATATGGCACAAAATCTACTTTATTTCATATTGTTCCAAGCATCCAAATAAGTTCTTTAATGGTGATTAAATTTCATACTTATTTCTTGAAACAGCCTATAGCCTTTTCTTATGCTTTTTCCCTAAAGGAAATGAAAGAATATTGCAGATGATTGAATTGAAGTTTAGATAGATAGAACAACAGCGCTACAAATGATATTTTATTGATTATTATTTCGCTTGGAGCTCATGGACAATGAGTAAATATTGCGTAAGAAAAATAACTGACAGTCCTCTAGTGAATATTTCTCCATATAAAGCTGCTATTATCATTATTGTCACTGTTACTTATTATTCTTACAAATAAAATATATCAGCTAAAATGTCAACACAGCTAGCTGTACAATGCATCAAAATGAATTAATTATTTGTCTCATGAAAGTAGAAGAAGAGGAGAGGAACATTAGAAATATAAATAAAGTCATGCCGACAACTTTGATGAGTGTCATCTTCAGACCCATTGTATGAACTATACACTAAAGTCTATTCCACTTACTGATTTTCTCTATTTAATCAACTAAAATACTGAACATAAAATACGAATCACATCCCTGCAGACAAAACCATATGCAAAGAATATATCTATAAATTGAATCGGGTTCAGGTGGCTTAATGGTATACGAGCTTGTCTTGTAACAGGAAGGTCCTGGGTTCGAATCGCAGTGGGTGCGTACTGCCGATGATTCCCAAACCAGGATGAAAATGCTGTCCAGTACTCCCTGGTTTTCAATCGTTCTCTAACTGATTTGAAACTCGAAAAACAAATCTAATCCTTAAAACCCCAACTCTTAAAAATTAATACAAGTATAACCGAGTGAATAGAATAAATCAATTCATCTAACTGTAACCGGTATTAGAAGTACTCACATGAGTCAAAGTGAACTTTTTCATTGCTAATTTACCTAATATAAATTTAGTACAATCTGGGAATCGTGGAAATATTATGGTATTAAAAAAGGTATAGAATTAAAACAGTGTGAAAAAAGGGGCACTGAAAAATTTGTTGTATTGGAGAATATTAAAGAACTGTCATCACTTCTTGCTATGTGTATAGCAAAATTAATAATGGTTAAAATTTTAAGTCAGCTTAGTATTTTGCATAATCTCTTGCAACATATTTGCAGAGTAACACCAAGTCTGCTTGATAGTTATATTTCACCCTTGACTAATAGATTTAGATAAATAAAAAAAGACTCGAAAGCTACATATAACATCATCTCGCATGCACAGTTCAGTAATCTGCAGGATTCCTTGCGATCAAATAGCACCACTTCGAATTCAATAGATGTGAACTTCCTGAACATTGAATATGTGTTTCATTTACGAGCACCAGGAAATGAACTACCTAGCTCCAGGATTTCCATCCAATCAACTAATGTCACTTTACTTCACGACATATTATAGTAGCTTGATGACCTTACTTCTTGGAACTAGTACTGCAACCCAAATATAATGAGACGAAATTTCATCATTTGGAATATGATACTCCTCAAATGGTGCGTCGGTGGCACAGCGGTAGAATGCTCGCCAACCACGCAGGTGCTTCGGGCCTGGATATCCAACCGACGAAGTCCTATACCTGGTTGAACCATTGATAAGAATCGTAAATAGGGAACGTTGGGCATAAGGCTAGCAACCCCATCCTGTAAAACCAAATACCACTGCTACCGAAACTTCAAGCCTCTACTCTGAAGCCATATGTTCCACTGGGAACGTTAAGGAAATAAAAAACTACTCAAATGCATTCAGTTAATGTAGACTGATATAATTTCAAGTGTAACATTTATAAATGAGTTTTTATACAGAAGAACGCCAGTCCCATAACCATACTCTCTTTAACTTTTAAAATAAATTATAAATTCACTTCCTAAAGCAAATAAAAGTTCAAACGTCTAGCAGCAGAAGTGAGTATTATCTCTTAATTGCACTGAGTCCTTCCTTATCTGTTATTATCTTCAATTGATGAGAGAAATACTGAATCTGTTTTAAATCTAGAATAAAAACCTTATCGATTTGTCTGTAAATATTGTTTCCAGCATTATACACCCACTAATTGCATAAGTTTGTTCTCTGTTTACTGAATGAGCAAACAGTTCATCTGTATTTCTTTTACTTCGGTTAACAGAAAAATTGTTTGAATGAGTTAAAACAACTGGAAGCACACTTAAGTGGTATGAGAAATTATTATTTTCTACTGAAAAAATATAATATTCATTTTAATAACAAGCTCAAAATACAATAAAGTATTATCTGTTAGTCAGACGATCGTTACTCATCTTCTCGATTACAGTGGGAATTTTCAGCGAAAAACTACCTTGCCTTTTGGAGCTATACACATTTGAAGCATACCAATGCCAAAGTGATGAAAATCTTAGCAACTGTTGTCGCTTAAATTAGCTTGAAATTTTTTCGTGTTTATTCTCCGAATGAAAACATCTTTTTTCTTTCCTCAGGCTTATTGGTTAAGTATTGAACTGTAGCGCTGATAACAATTGTACTGAGTTACAATCAATAACGTTTGTGAAGAAGTAAACATTTTGTTCATTTACTCATTCTTAAAACAACCTGTTAACAATTTATTTTAAAATATATCAATAATTCTAGGCTGTCTGTGTATTACATAAATAAGACTATCATCACCAGTCTTAAACTTAATATTATTACTGAATATTCAAGTACCTGTCAACTCTTACATAGCCATTGATCAGTGAAGTGAGACTGAACTAAGAACACTAGATGGATTTCTCAGATAAGGCGAAATAGCACCCTGTTGAATGACCTGGTGGTGGGTGATTAGAATCGCTGAATAACCTAATATTTACTAGCAGTGAATTATAAATCGCTATTGTTACTAAATCCACTGCTAAATACAGAATTCCTAGTCATTCACTTTCTTACGTGCTTATGGAGGTAATTGTAACGAATCTACAATGAATGACTTCAATATCTATCCAATGAAATAATAAATAATCTAACAAGTGCACCTATTGTTTAAAATAAATAATAATTAGTAATTTCCAATTAAACCGCCAACTGCTGAACATGAAAGTTTCGCAAATGAATTAGAGCATGAAATAGCTTCCAAGCTAAACTATAAATAACAGAATGGTATCCACCGTTTCAAACTCTAATATATACAAGACTACTAAGTCGTGAGCAGTGAGTCGATGGTTCATTGATAGAATGCTGGCCGACCAAGCACGCAATCCGGAGTTCGAGTCCCGGTGCATTCCCTAGCTGGTTATAATCCAGACAGAGAGGAGAGGTTGAGAGTGAGTCTAGTTACCCCACCCCGTAAAAATCACCACTGCTACTGAGACTTCAAAGCGAAAGCTTGAAGCTCTATGTTCCACTCGGAACGTAAAGGAACTTAAAAAAAAACTAAGCCATGAGAAACATTTGTCATGTGGTACGGGTTCATCCAGTTGACGACCATTCAATAAAACAGAATACGCGTCTTGGAATAAGTGGCTAGCAACGATCTAGAAAAAAGCTTCTATATCACGTTAAATGGATCATCTAAGTGTTTCTTTTGAAAGTATATGTACATGAACAACGATCTAGATTTTTCGTTTGATGAAATAAGTAACTGTAGAATGTAAATTTGCACCAGTAACCGGTTTTCATAATAATTCAACTGTTATGGTCGACGCAGTTACATCTCGTGCATCTTTTTTCACAAAGTGTTATCTAAAGTTATAAATAAATCGATGAAACTTAAGATGAGAATTCTAAGGTTCAATTTTTCTTTCTGTTAGAATCCACGTAAGAACATCTTCCGTTGACTCTTTGAAAATATCATCAGTCTAAGCTATTACATCAGTAAAACAAATATTTTCGAGTTTAGACATTATGATTCGTTCTCGAAAA